TCTCTGTCTGTCTGTCTGTCTCTCTCTCTCTGTGTCTCTGTCTGTCTGTCTCTCTGTCTCTGTCTCTCTGTGTCTCTGTCTGTCTCTCTGTCTCTGTCTCTCTGTGTCTCTGTCTGTCTGTCTGTCTCTGTCTCTGTCTGTCTCTGTCTGTCTGTGTCTCTGTCTGTCTGTCTGTCTCTGTCTCTCTGTGTGTCTCTGTCTCTCTGTGTCTCTGTCTGTCTCTCTGTCTCTCTCTCTGTGTCTCTGTCTGTCTCTCTGTCTCTCTCTGTGTCTCTGTCTCTCTCTCTCTCTCTGTGTCTGTCTCTGTCTCTCTCTCTCTCTCTGTGTCTCTGTCTGTCTGTCTGTCTCTCTGTGTCTCTGTCTGTCTGTCTCTGTCTGTCTGTCTCTGTCTGTCTGTCTGTCTCTGTCTCTCAAAACATTTTTTTTTACTATATAAGACAAAATTGCAGCTACATAATGAAATAATAAAGGGACCCATGTTATAAAGCCAAGATAGCTTTGTTTTTTTTTTTTCTTTTATTAAAGCTGTTAACTCTTTCAAATTTTCCTATAATTAGAATTCTCAAGTATTGACCAAAAAAAAGTGATTGTTTGCTAGTGATTGGGAGTGAATAAACTCTAGTCAGAGACCTTCCTGTTCTCATTGACCTTCTATAAGTAATTTGAAACATTGACTATATTTTCTTTGCTCAAAAGCAGATTCCATCTACTTTGTACATTTAGCTGTCATCAAAATGCTATTGATGAAAACAAAGAGCACTTGTTCTGATATTGATCCCACTTTTGTCTAAAAGTACAACTTCCATTAAAAAGGAATTCATTAGAGGAACATGAAGCATAAGCTACTAGATGGAAAAGGCTTTTGAATTTGGGGTTTAAATTGTCAGCATTCTGACTTAGTGGGCAAATGGGCTACTATATTGGGCCAGAAATGCTAAGTAAAATTGTCAACTGGAGATTTTCATTTTATACACAGCAGAAAATTAATGTTGGGAGCATTTTTCTGAAGAGTGTCATATTCTCCAGACATGTCATTGTGAGATTAACACCATTTCATTTTCTACATCATTTTTTGGAGTCAGTTTTAACAATTTAAGCATATTGAAGAATTTCTCAAAGAACTCGTTAAATCAAAAAATTTTCTTTTTAAAATTTAACGAAAACTTTAATGACCAAATAATGAGGCCGTAAGTTTATGAATAAAACTTGAAATTTCTATTGAGGTTTTTTTTTTTTTTGTTTGTTTGTTTGTCTGATGGAAATGCATTACACTTGTAATAGTTTGTCCCTAACTTAAAATTTGATGTCCACATTGAGATTTAAAACTGTTCTTTGGGCTCTTTAATGATTCTGTTGCAGAATCCTCTTTAAAAGAAACTTAACCTATAACAAAAGATTCCTTGAATATACTGTTTGAAATCTTCTGTACAACTGGATTCAGTCAGTTATGTGCCATGCATGATACACACATAGATGATCATGTATCTTTCGATACATGACTGACAATGCAGTTTTTTCTGCGGTAGGTTGCCATTTCTTTCTGCGGTAGACCAGTTGCCATCCAAGGCTATAGAACCTGGTCTGTTCTTCTATTTACCTGTAGCTGGGGGAAGAAGAGGATCCATACCTTTCACAAGGGTATTAGCACATAAGTTTGAATTCTAATCCTTTGACTGGAATTAGAACTCTGCTCTCTGATTCCTCAATCCGAGCCTCTATTCATTACTCTGCCATACCTCCTCCAATTAGATTATAAGATTAATTAATCTCTTTTCTTTAGCTTGCCTTTTCCTTGGCAAGGGAGAGCAATACACATTCCCTTTCTGCCTTCCATTACCATGGCTGATGCTAACCTCCAGGAGAGTAACTCATTGCGCTTTATCGGCTTAACATTCTCTTAACATGAAGTTGAAAGACTACTGAATACATTGCTAGGTCACCTGCTAAAAAAAAAAAAAAATTGGTTCAGTGTTGTGCTAGACAATTTTTTTCTCTATTGAATTTCTTGCATAATTATACCATTCACACATGCTTAGAATATTGCTACCACATGTGGTCTGGTGCCTCTGCTATATATTTAGAGATTCTTGCTAAAATCCAAAGAATCGACAATATTATTGGTCCTGACCTGGCATCTCTGCCTCAGTCAATTTTCCACCACTGTAAAGCTCCTTCCTTGTGCATGCTTTATAAATACTTTCATAGTAATTGTTTGGATAAACTCTTCACTATGGTACCTATATTTTATGAATTTAAGTTCAGTACTAGATTGGCAACTAGGTCTCATCAATTTGCAGTTGAATTGGCTAGATGTAACCATAAGTTCTATGCTAACAGTTTATTTTCTTGCACTTCTCACTTGTGGAACACCTGCCTCCATGCTTTCCAGTTATCTTTGATCTTCAAAAATGTAATGTCAATCATTATCTACTGTCTTCCTGATTATTGTTCTTGCTCCTTAGTAATGTTTCTAATTCTTTCACATTCAGTAACTCTGTTTTAGTGGCCTTGCTTGGTAAATTTGATTTTTTAAAAAGTAAAGCAGTGGAGGATATATGAAGTTGAATAGTCACTGAAATTGCCACACAAGTCTCTGCCTTCTGTATGTCTACAGCCTCATTTCAAATGAGCCAATCTAAAGAATAGAATAACCAGACTGCAAAATATATTCTGTATGCATACCTAGAAAATACTTGAAGAGGAAGCAATCTCAGACTCTGTAGTTGACATATTAAGGAAATCTTTGAGATGTATGTGTATATGTGTGTGCCATTGGCTCCTATAAGCAACTCATCCACCCTTTTTGACAGGTTTGTTCTGTAGGGTGATATGTCACCCTCCTCACTAGCAGAAAAAGCTAGTGGGAAAATCATGCTTAGATGCCAGTCATATGTCTATGCAGCAGATTGTACTGGGTTACTTATTACCAGTAGTATGGTTGACCTGACTCAGTTATTGAGGTTTACTACATTCTCAGTTTAATAACTGTCCATTACTGGGAGTTAAATGATCAACAAAACTTACTTGTCATTATTATCATTATTGTTGTTATCGTAATAATTTATTATATTTTTTCCCCCACCCATCCCCAAATCACAAGCCAGTACAAAGTTACTAATATTTATTACTTTACTTGGAAAAGCAAAGAAAATGGGGTTCAGAAGAAAATCTTTTTTTTTTATTGTGCATTGAGAATCTTCAAATAAAAACTGCAGTTATTTTACTAATTCAATCCTGAATCTGATTTATTTTAGAGAACAGTTATTAAATCAGAAAACCTAAATTAGTCCAAATTGTAACTTATCTGACTAAGCTCCAACCCAATGAGGATAGACATTGGATAGCAGACTAGACAACTTAAATTACAAAACCAGTTTACTTTGCAGTTTTTTGGCTTCAAGCCAATCAATATTTCTACACTATTAATTTTGTATGCGCAAAGTCTAATTTTGTATTTCAAAACTATCCCAATAATCATTCCACTTTAAGAATCATTTAACTTTGGTTTTTCTATAAGCTCTCACTTTTGCTTGATCTTGCTATCATAGTTTATATATAACAGCATTTCTACTAAATGTTTTAACAGAATGGAAGAAAAAAAAAACCCAAACCAGCCACTGATACTAGATTCTTGGAAACCAAATTTCTGCTGTATCTTGTGATCTAGGAAAAAAAGTAGATGATAGTCATCTATTGGGTGGGAGGGGTTGAAAACTCTCTCTCTCTCTCTCTCTCCTCCCCCTCCCCCCCCTCCTCTCTCTCTGCGCCTCCCTCCCCTCCCTCCCTCCCTCTCTCTCTCTGCGCCTCCCTCCCTCCCCTCCTCCTCCTCTCTCTCTGCGCCTCCCTCCCTCCCTCCCTCCCTCTCTCTCTGCGCCTCCTCCCCTCCCTCCCTCTCTCTCTGCGCCTCCTGCCTCCCCCTCTCCCCTCTCTCTCTCTCTCCTCTCTCTCTCTCTGCGCCTCTCTCTCTCTCTCTCTCTCGCCTCCCTCTCTCTCTCTCTCTCTCCTCCCTCTCTCTCTCTCTCTCTCTCCTCCCTCTCTCTCTCTCTCTCTCTCCTCTCTCTCTCTCTCTCTCCTCCCTCTCTCTCTCTCTCTCCCTCCCTCTCTCTCTGCGCCTCTCTCTCTCTCTCTGCGCCTCTCTCTCTCTCTCTCTCTCCTCTCTCTCTGCGCCTCTCTCTCTCTCTCTCTGCCTCAAAACTGCATTGCACCACAACCATAAGTTTGACCAATTGCCACATTTTTTTATCATTATTGATAGTTGTTAAACCTGCGCTTCCTGTTTTTAGTTTCAATTAAGCTTGTTAATTTGTAAAGCTATGTATTTTACAAGTGGTGTTTACACCAATTTTAATTAAAATTGGTCAGATGAACAGTTATGCTGTGTATATATATATATATATATATATATATATATATATATATATATATATATATATTGTGCACAGTGTTCTCCTGCTTGTGTTGTATTGTACAGAGACCTTTTACCAGACATAGGGTCTTTCAGCAGCTACCTTCTTGATCCAGGGGAGTACTAACTTGATCTAGGCCTCTGTGTTTAATCTGAGGCCCAGTGGCTAAATGGTGGGCATAATGCTGCCATCATTCCAAACATCATGATGTTGACTGGATATATTACCCAACTCTTTTTCAAATCCTCTTCACTGTCCTCAGATTGATACCCAAACACTTTAAAATATTCATGTTGGACCTTCTGGTATCTGTTTTCAAATTTCTGCTGGTGGGAATTGCATCATGGTGCCCAACTGACCCTACTATACTGTGCAGTTGACAAAATTGAGTTCAGCACACATACAAAAAATTAAAGATATAAAATGGCAACTTGCTCATCGCACCCTGTGTGTGTGTGAGATATATATATATATATATATATATATATATATATATATATATATAATCACACACACAATAAAGACTATTCCAAGCCCATTCATAATACAGGTGGTGGGTTAATTAGATTGTTTTATTATAATAAAATATGTTTAATGGTAAAATTCTGCTCCTCTTTGATTAAAGTTACTCCAGTTATTGGAGATTTTAGGCAGGATAACTGTCAATGCAGCAACTGACAGGGAAAGTTGAAGTTCATGCCTTTGGGAATAAATGTATCAACAGGTACTGAAATCATCTTATTGTTCATTTTGCGTGTCTAATTTTAACCTATTCCTGCTAGACAAGATGTTTCATCTTCTGGTTTCCATAGGAACGACCATATCTTGATAGACACTTGTAAAACTGTCGATGACAGTGTAATTGAGTTTAAGCATACCAGCCACATTAAATACTAATAATCTTTTTCTTATATTGTACAAATTTACACTGCATTTTCCAATTTTACATTGAGAACTTTAACTCTGATATTTTGTTTGACATGTGATAGTATCTGGGGGAAATAACCTTTTGGAATGTAAATGCCACAAAGAAGTCCATTGACACACATACACTTACAATATAATAATCTTATATATATATATGAACCTAAAGAGCCAGGCAAGCCTACCTATGTTTCACCTACATGGATCATCAGGGTATGCTGGCCAGTGAAACGTAGGTAGTTTTACCTGGTTCTTTAGGTTCATAGTTAGATTTGCTTTACTCGTGTTGGAGGTTTTTTGTTTTGTTTTTTTTTTTTTTTTTTTTTTTTTTTTTTTTTTTAACCCAAAACTTGGATTCTGGATGATTGTTTTCGCCTCAATTACGTGTTTGTTTTTTTTTTTTTTTTTTTTTTTTTTGCTCCTTTATTTTTCCTTGGGTATTGGTTTTACCTAAGGTTTTCCCAGACAAGTATAATTACTTATATTTATATAATTACTAATTAATATAAGTATAATTACTTGTGTGTGTGCACACGCATATATATATATTACACACTCACAAGTAGTATGCTGCAATAAATAAGATTCCACAAAGGACATTTAAACTGATATACAATGTCAGTCTTTTCACTAGTTGGAGAGAAGTTATAATATATAAAATTAAATACTTTGACTTGTATTTGAAAGTGTTTGTTTGTTTGTTTCCCCCCCCCCCCAAGCCATCTTGTTTGTTTTGTTTGTTTTTTTTTTTTTTTATTTACTTTCTCTCATTAACCCTATTAACTTTTTTTTTTTTTTTTTTTTTTTTTTTTTTTTTTTTTCTTTTGCAGTGTGTTGACCATGGCTTTCCGAGTCGACCAAGTGCTCTGGCATACGATCCAAAGTTGAAGCTACTAGCTATTGGCACAAAATCTGGAGAAGTGAAAGTGTATCCTTGTCTTTCTATTTCTTTCTATACACCTTTCAGATTTCTAAGATGAAAAGTATTTTTATTAAACCAACAGCAGGAGAAGCTCTTAAGTTGTTTGCTTTGGTTTGATTTTTTTCTTTGGACTACTGAGTAAAATTAGACCAACAACAACAATTTCCGAACACCTTTTTTCTTTTTAAAGCTTTAATTTTCCTTTTAATTTTGAGTTAATAGACTGAATTTAATATTCTCATTAAGTAAAATACTTTAAATTTCAAACCAAATTTAAACTGTAATTTTTTTTTTATCTTTCTACTTATTTCTCTTATTAAAAAAAAATCTTTCAAAAATAAAATATACTTTTCTAAAACATTGAGATAAACTGATTTAAGGTTTTAATTAACAAATGATTTTTACTTTTAAAATATAGCAGAAAAGCATCTTTCCAACCCATCTTGTAAATATTTCATCATAAATTTTTTTTAACCAATAACCTTAATTTTAAATATTTTAAGCATTCTATTTTATTGAATTTTAAGTACTTTAGTTTTATAGTTTACTTTCAAAAATGTTTTAAAAAATTTTTAAATTACCAATAAATTTTAAATTTATAGATACCTGTTATTTTCTGATAATGTTGTGTAAGGACATGCATATTTACAAAAATCAACACTTTTTATACACAAAATTCAAAATTAAAATATTTAAATTGTGAAATTTTCTATTTATGATTGGTAAATAGTTTCAATTTAATCACTTAGCTACTACAAATTCATACATAATTTTAAAAATTAATAAACTATCATAATTAAAACTGCAAGATAATTCTTGCAAGAATTATCAATTTTGTTTGGGAGACAATAGTGTCCATTATGTATTTTTTCATAAAATCAATTAAGAATTTTTTAATTAAATTTCTTCAATTTATTGCATTACTTGACCCCCACAAAAAAAAAACTTGGCTTAAATTCTCAGAATTTGTGCTTATAACAAATATATAAACATTAAGTGTGAAAAGAAAAATTAACCAAGATTTTTTTTTTTCTTTAAACAAAAAAATCCAGAAAGTTTAATTTAAAATCTGCTAATTATCAGATTTTCAAAAACTTCTGAATCACTAATTTTCACCAAAAATGACACTCAAATTTCCTGTACAAACATTGACACCAGAAAAACATTTTTTTTTTTTTTTTTTTTTAGCTAAAATTTCCAAGATTCTGAGGTGGGTCTTATATTTGTAAATGCAATCTTGTGTTCATAATTAAGAAAAATTCAGGGTTTTATATATATATATATATATATATATATATATATATATATATATATATATAATAAAATGTGTGTATGTAAAATGCATGAGTGCACATTTGAATCCTTATTCTACAATCATTTGTTAATAGCCTGTCAAGTCTTTTTTTTTTTTTTTTTTTTTTCTTCTTCTCTCTCCCCCACCCTTGAGAGAGACTTGTCTGCATCACAGTTGTTCTACTGTTTAAGCTTATAAGAAAATGACTGCAGAAAGTCTAATCCAGCCATGCCAACTTATTCTTTATTTCCTTTGACACTCAGTGTTACTTGTTCTTGATTTTCTTTATCCAACCATATTTCTCCTTACTATTAGATGTTATTTTCATTAGGTGCACATGGTTTAGATAACATCCCTGTTGTTTTAAACTGAAATTAATTTTAACCAATCCAGAGGTTGGAAGAAAGTTCTTACTAAGGCTGGACATGTTTTTCTCCATGTTTAAAAACATTGAGAACTGACTATATATATATATATATATATATATATATATATATATATTTTTTTTTTTTTTTTTTTTTTTTTTTTTTTTTTTTTTTACATCAAAATTTGTAGCATGCCATTAAGCACAGATGACTTTTGTAATAATATAACTTTAAGAAACCAAGTAACATTTGCATAGGTTAGTTTTGAATTTCCTATCAGGTGTTGATATAAACTTTTTTTTTTTTTTTTTTAATTTATTTAAAATATTCATCTCTCTAAAGATAAGCAATTTTTCTTTATTTCCTTCAGCAGTAGATATGTAGAAAAGTGTATCTACCTCTTATTTTATATATATATATATATATATATATATATATATATATATATATATATAATGACCTGAATAAGTCATAATGCATCTCTACAATTTGGCTGTTGAAAATTGCTCACAGGTGACAGTGTCAATGGAGTCTTTATAAGAAAACCTGTTCTGCCAGTCAACTGTTCCAGACCAACGCAGGTGTAACTGAGGTCAGCTTGACTTCTGCCAACTTGTGCTGAATTTTCATATTTAATTACATGAAGAGAATTTTTTTTTTAGTGACTAATTTATGCCCCCCCCCAAACACAGTCCTTTTTAATTGCACAAGTAGGCAATAATAATAAACATGAATTCTATATACAATTTCCTGTAGTGATTCAGTGTTATATTTTCACTAACAAGATTTATTTAAAATGTTAGTTTTTTGTTTTTTTTTTTCCTCTGATTGCAAAGCACTAGCACTAATATTTGACATATTTTGAAAGTAGACAAGTACCAAAATTTCTTTACTATGTTTACTCTACAGACATGAGTTTTTTCTTTTGAAGTTAATACTATTTTGATAGAAAACTTAAAGATATTAACTTTAAAAATGTTCCCCAATGGTAGGAGCTCAATTTTATATGCAAATTGATAATCTTTAACCCTAGGACACTAACCATCAATTAAAGTTACACCACTACTAAAATGGGTATATCATACCTGATTTTGAAAATATCAAAAAAAAAATATATTAAATATAAATCTTTATTTGAAATATTTTAAGCACTTCAAACTTTGTACTTTGAGTTAACATTAATAAGAACTGAAAAACATATTTAATATTTAGGTAAGAAAATCAGGTACTGAAAATTGTAATTAAAAATAGGACATTTGCATAGTGTTATAGGGTTAATAAATACTAAACTGAATTGTTGGTTGCTGTACCTGACTGTCACAAAATATCTATGCATACACTTTGTATTAAGTAATATATACACCAAGTATGTTGGTTGAATAATCTAGGCATTGTGTGTTTATTTTAATCCTCTCAAATCCATGGATCTTTTTCATTGAATATGACTGACAAGGAAAGCTTAATTCCTTTTTTTTTTTTTTTTTCTAACATTCTTAGATTTTTCCATTTGGTGGAAGTAAGGGGTTCAAATATGTTGCTTGTCCCAAGCACTTTTAGCCACTTCTTTAGCCATTTTTGAAGGGGGTTTGTTTTAGGTGTGTAGTAAATAATCAACTGCTAATGGTGAGCTAGAAGTGAATCCCAAATGGAAGATATCCGCTAACCACCCAATGTGGTCAGATGTGGCACAAGGCCAAGTTTTATTGTTGGGTATCCAAGCCCATAGGCTTAGCCAAAAATTCCCTGTAGACCCTTGGGTAGCTGTCTCCCGAGACAAGACTCAGTCCTTCGATATAGCCTTGTCTGTGGATCCTCTCTACCCAGAGGCAAAGAGTTTGACCAGCACACTTGGAAGTGAATTCCCAAATAGAAGATGACATACAATATATACCACTGTATGTATAGGAATTGAGGTATAACCACTGTATGTATAGGAATTGAGGTATAACCACTGTATGTATAGGAATTGAGGTATAACCACTGTATGTATAGGAATTGAGGTAGGTAACCACTGTATGTATAGGAATTGAGGTATAACCACTGTATGTATAGGAATTGAGGTATAACCACTGTATGTATAGGAATTGAGGTATAACCACTGTATGTATAGGAATTGAGGTATAACCACTGTATGTATAGGAATTGAGGTATAACCACTGTATGTATAGGAATTGAGGTATAACCACTGTATGTATAGGAATTGAGGTATAACCACTGTATGTATAGGAATTGAGGTATAACCACTGTATGTATAGGAATTGAGGTATAACCACTGATGTATAGGAATTGAGGTATAACCACTGTATGTATAGGAATTGAGGTATAACCACTGTATGTATAGGAATTGAGGTATAACCACTGTATGTATAGGAATTGAGGTATAACCACTGTATGTATAGGAATTGAGGTATAACCACTGTATTAAGAACAAAAGATGTATGACAAATTGGGGAAAGTTTTTGAGCCATTTCATCCATTAGAACTTCATAAGACTGGGTTTATTTACATTATTGTGACTACACATGCACACAGATACACTGGGAGTTTTAAATTTAGATTTTTTTTTTTTTTCTTCATGCAATCTAGCCATTTCCAAATAGATTCTTTTTGTTTCTGTCATCTCTGCTATTAAAGATCCCATATAACAGATCTATCAAGAATGGTGAAATACTGTAAGAAACTGGGTACAATTTTATTGGAGCTGAACTTGTGATTAAAGCACTTTCTAGAGACTTTCATCTTAGTGAATTATTTTCTTTTAAAATAGCTTTTTTTTTTTTTTTTTTTTTTTTTTTTTTTTCAAAATTGTGGTCAGTTTTCTTACCGTGAACAATCAATGAAGTGTTTTTCTTTTTAATGTCTCTTTTGTGTTCATATAATCTTTTCATTTAAATTTCTTGGTTTCTCCAAAATAAGTTGGGGGGGGTGACTTGTATATGTCACTTAATCATGTTAAAATTGGGAAATGTAAACTTAAGTCTATGCGTGGGGTTCTCATGGATTAAATAGGATATTTGCTAAGTTTAACAATGTCTGGTATAAGGCCAACATTGCAAATCTGTTCTTCCCCTCTCTTTTTTTTTTTTTTTTTTTTTTTTTTTTATTATCCTCCATATGGATAAATAACACTTCATTAAAATTTCAAATTGTTTTAATGTTTAACCCCACCGGACTTTATTTCCTTAATGTTACTTTAGATTTGGAGCTCCAGGTGTAGAGTTTGCAGGCCAGCACGATAAAGATGTTTCTGTCAATCAGCTTTTCTTTCTTCAGGAACAGGTAAGTCACCCAACTTTGTACACTACATGCATTCAATACAGGCTCTTTTTAAATTTTAAATGATTTTTTCTTTTTTTATTTAAAACAATATTTCTTATTACTATAAACATTATTTTTAGGGGTGTAGGAAAACTCTATATCACTGACTGAGATTATTAAAAAAAATTTCTGCATGTTTTTTTTTTTTTTTTTTTTTTTTTTGTTTTTTTTTTTTTAAAACAAAAAACTGATTCATATTTTTACATAATGCCTTTTTCAAATACCTTATCTGAAGAAAAATATTCACTAATTAAGGTTTTAGTCCTTAATTACTTTTATTTGGTTATAAAAAATAGTTGTCTGGTACTCAGTCAGCAGTGTTGAGTTATCCCTTCCTATATTTTTAGTGGGTACATGTTTGAGTTGACATCCCTGTGTTGATTTTTTTTTTTTTTTTTTTTTTTTCCTCTCCTCCCATTGAAATTCATATCAACCAGCTGAGATCATGAAGTCCTACTAAAGAAAAATGTGCTTCCCAATAGGAATCTAATCAGTATCCCCTTTTTCCGTTACCAGAGCATGTCATTAGCATTTTAGCCATTTAAGACTGTTAAAGCAGGGCTCAATTACTTTGGCTGATATTAATTTCACTAAATTTTGTTCCCTGGGTATGACGATAAACTATATTCAGTAGTAAGGCCTCTGATTAGGAGATTGGAGGTTTTCAGGAGATTGGAACCATTTAATTGCTGTTGTTCCTGGGGTGATAGAACCTTTTAGGCTCCCAGCTATGGGCAAATAGTGACACCACCCCCACCACACCCCACCAGCAAAACAAAATGCCATGAAAGTGTAGAATTTTTTTTTTTTTTTTTTTTTTTTTTTTAATATAAAAAAAAAAAATACCAATGATACACACATTAATAACTGTAGCAACTTTACCCAAATCCATTTAAAATATTACCAAACAACCAACATGAAAGAACTTTCATGACATTAGGCCAAATAATATCCGCCAATTTCTTAAATAAGACTGTATTCCAACATAACTTCAGCAAAATGCACATCGCCACCTCTAGTAATGTCCTGCCTTCATGCAATTAATGGTCATTTGTGTGTAATATAAACCTGGAGTGTGACATCTTCCAAATTGTATTCATTCGTGGCCCACAAGGTGTCTTGGTATGGACACCAGTAGTTACAAGCTTTGCTTTGCTTGCCTCTGTATTTGCAGAAGAAATGTTTAATCTGTCATGTATATCTAGAATGTAGTTTAACCTGTTCTGCTGCCATTCTTAGCTGAAGACACTCTCAACATGACAATAACCAAACAGACCTCCAAACAATACCCCCCACACACACACACACCACCAAACAGACTTCAGAAACAAAGAATATATCAAAAGAAAATTGCATCCAACATGACTGGAAACCTAACTGATATTCGGCCAAATATCAGAGGTTTCAGAAAAATAAGATTGGAGGAAATAGTTTTATCCAGGCTCCGACTAGGACATGCGCATCTGATACACTCCCATTTGCTAAAAAATGAAACTCCATCATGCAATAGATGTCAAGTACCTCTCTGCCACATACACTCACAAGTTGCCATCGTCTTGGTCAAACCCAAACAAAATATTATCAAGCAAACACTACAAAGGAACTTTCAAAACATTAACCAAACATATCCTTAATTTCTTAAAGGAAATCAAACTTTATACCAAAATATAAAAACTCCCAACAAGACTACATAAAACCTATTTGAAAACTGGAAAAAAAAAAAAACAAACTTTTAGACTCCATAAAAATAAGAATAACCAACTTGTATCAAAAACTGAATACAAAATAACTTTTATTAGAAACCAGCAGGGCTGATGTAAGAGTCTTGTAAACCCCCGTCTCCAAATCTATTATACTCTACTAAACCTCAATTTTCATAAGGTAGTATGCATATAAAATACAAATTTTATTGTAACCTAATTATGTACAATAATGTAACTTATACAAGTGAACAATTCAACTAGAAAATTGAAAAAAAAAATACAAATTAGAGATGTTATAGATCCATTCCATTTTAAACAAATCAATGTTTTGTGGCAATCTCGTCAACTTGAGATTTTTCTTGTTAAAAAGTTGAATAATTTTAACAAAAATATAGTGAGTTCTAGTGTTTTGTTTTTTTGTTTTGTTGTTTTTTTTTTTTTTTACTTGGCATGAGCAAAAAAATATCGGATTTGGACGAAAAAATAAATCAACCTTTTAATAGTCAGTTGAATTTAGTTAAATTTATAACATATATAAATGTAGGTAGAAAAATGCAAAAGTTCATAAGATACTGAGAATAACAAGCTGGTATGGGGGGTGGGGGCAGGGGTTAAAAAAGAAAAAGCACATTCTTCAGCTAATGTGTACCCAAAACTATTGTCCTCATATAACATCAAGCTCTACCCAAAACAGCCCAAATCCAAAATATTAATCTGGCTTTAAATAACCTTATTGTGGTTGGAGGGCTGTTAAGCAGAAACAGACAAGTCTACAACAGGAAGGCAGTGCACTGTTCTATCTTCCTTTGAACCTGTATGAGACATGGACTGGTGCATGGCTCATTCAGTTATATCACCTGTAACTCTTGCATCAACAGGTGCAAGTGGCACAGGATAGTATTTGTAGACTGAAATTGCATGTTAGAGTACAAGGTTGTATTAACCTCATAGGAGGATATAAAATGTTAATATGGGGGTCTGCATTCAGTCGATAGAACGCTAGAAACGCTTAATTTAGAAACTTTTGCACATACTGATTTGTATGTGATTATTTACTGTAACATATCACCTGTGTATTGTAAATTGAAATGCATTTAAGGTGTTACAATTTTTCCATGTATTTTTTTTTTTTTTTTATAATTCCTCTTGATTACAATAGTATACCATCATGACATTTTGAACATCAAATTTTGTTTTGAGAAGGTATGCACTCTATACAAGTCTCATTGACGTCTATTTGATATATCCTGGGACCCTTCTCTTGACCTATGCAAGAAGCACACAATTTTTTTTTTTTTTTTTTGTCTTCTAATCTACCGAATTAAAAGATAAAACCACACCACTGTTACTCCCACCCTAGTGTTAGGATCAAAAGAATATGTGGGCTTGTATGACAAGGATAATATGGTCCTACTTTAAATAGACATCTTGCTAATGACAAAGAACTGTATATACAACATTCCATGCAGCTGTCAGGAAATAAAAACCATATTTGCATTCCAATGGTTTCAGCAAGCATCATAAAGCTGCAGCCCAGGCAGATGTGTTATGGTAAGAAATGGCTAATCATGCATGGGGTGGGGAGTAGGTTTACATACGTGCTAAAAAAAAAGTCGAGAGTAGATAATTGCCAATGTACCACGTATGAGGGGAGTACACACTTTTATATTTCTTAACTCTTTGTAATGACTTTAATTGATAAAAATGGAAGCTTCATTCAGGAATCACATCTATTGATATTGTGTATTGTTCTGTGTTCATCTTATCTGGTTTTAGCCAATTGAGTGCTCTTCTGACTGAGAAATAATAAAAAAAAAAAAAAACTAGTGTTATATAGCTCTCCCAGTCTTGTTACTTACCCGGTATCGTTGATATGCAAATAGTCAACGCCACCTACTCGGGTCTTCTCTCACCAGCCCGTTGTGGAAGGGGATGTAACTCCTGGTGCTTACAGCACCACATACAACCAACTCAAAATCTCTTATCAGGTGCACCCAATTCTCTGTTACACATTTACTTGGTTTGGTTCAGGGTCACAGTAGTGGAGCACTTACTTCAGATCCTTTTTTTTTTTTTTACTTTAAAACTGCTTGCTTGATACTTATCTCTAGCAATGACTTAATTGTAAATGACTTTTTCCTTTTTTTTTTTTTGTCTCTCCCTTTGTCCAGAGCCGTCTCATCACACTGTGCAGTGACAATTCTCTGCACTTATGGGAGACCAACGAGAAGAAGGATGGCAATGCAATTTTGGAAGAAGTCAAGGAGTTTTCTATGGAAAGCAAGTAAGTAGTGAAATCTCATTCATTCATTCATATATATATATATATATATATATATATATATATATATATATATAAAGAAACAAGTAGTTACTGGGTGTGAAAGAAGACTTTAGTGAGGAGAAAGGACAATAAAAGAATACGATTTATGAAGACAAAAGATAGCAATTGACATTGCATTTAAATCTTTGAAGATTCTAAGTAGCATGGAAGCCATAAACCAGAGGAGATATCCACAGGCGATAGGTGTGAGAAAAGAAACTATTAGAATAGGATTGATGGTTACATTAGCGAGTTCAACAATAAAACCATGTGACTTAGTTATCAATCTAGTAACATGCTTAAATTTATGCAATTGAGGTACCAAGGAGGGAAAATTGATCAGGATACATTACTGTAAGTGATGTTAATAAGCTGCAGTTGGAAGATGCATATCCAAAATTTAAAGAAGGTTTGGTCTATTTAATAACTGTAGCTTTTGCATAAAATATTCAATGTTTTTCTTTCTTTTTCTTCTAGTAAGCTGAAAACCATCTCTGCATGTTGTCTGAGTCCAAACAATGACAAATTGCTGATGGGCACTGAAGGTGGAAATATTCACTTGTTGGATGTTAACTCCTTCACCCTCATGGAGCAAATTATCTACCAGGATGTTGTCATGCAAAAGTAAGTATTTTTTTTTTTTTTTTTTTTTTTTTTTTTTAATATGAAAATGATTGTATTAAATCAAATGGCAACTTCATGTATAGCATTTAAAAACTTATGTACTTTAGTATATAATTCTATATTTTAAAAAGCTCTAGGGGTGGGGATTTCTAAGAAAATTTCTAGACTAATTTTTTATCTTTTTAAGGAATAGTTTTTGGTATTTTAATGACAAAAATTTTAATCATTTTTCATACTTTTTTTTTTTTTTTTTTTTAATGAACTTTTAAATCAAAGTTCATCTCTACATCGATGCAAAATCAATCAAATAATGCTTATAGTTTATATTTAAAAATTCTTTTTCTTTTTACCCCAGTGTGCAAGGGGATGATTTTAAAGTGAATCCAGGTGCTGTAGAGTCCATTACTGTGCATCCCACCAACCCAGACAAGGTATTTAAATACTTTTAACGACTAAAACGACTCTTCAGGTTCTGTTTTTATCTTAACATAAGAACAAGAGAAACTCTGATTTTCTTTCTTTTTTTTCTTTTTGATCTTTATAGTTTTTGATTGGCTACAACCGTGGCTTGATTGTAATGTGGGATAACAAGGCCAATGATGTTGACCACACCTACAATGCAATCCAACAGCTGGAGTCATTAGCCTGGCGCCGGGATGGCAATGAATTCATCAGTGCACATACAGATGGTAGCTATGTTGTATGGAGTGCATCCGATTCTTCTGCTCCTAAAGAAGCTTCCACAACTCCTTACGGTAAGATGCATTTTATTCATGCCTGTCACCAAATAAACTTATTCCTCTCCTCTTCCTGTATTTATTATTATAATAGTTGGCCCCACCCCTGGTATTATAGAGAGAAAGCTAAAACTGTACTAAAATTAAATGCCTTGAAAAAAAGCTGAGAAGAATTTTTTTTTTTTTTTCCATGCACATTTCAGGGCAAATACTGTCTCCTTAGATGTCTCTTTTGGCTGACATGGGATATCTTTTACTGATTATTGTTCATTCCTGCTGAACAGGTGTTTAATTACCTGATCCAGGGATTGAACTCTCAAACCCCTAGATGACAATAACACAAATTAAACATGTAGAACTTTGAAGAAAAATGGCAACATGTCAGAAAGATGATTGGTGAATAGGCAAAATACAATTGTCTTCATTCTCAATTGGCTTCTTTTTTTTTTCTTCCACCTCCTCTACACCCCCCCCCCGAAAAAACAAAAGTGAACCTCATGCAATAAAATAATTATTTTGATTATGGTTAGCAAAACATCCGCTAATTACCAGTTGACTTGAAGTTTATAAAATGGTTAATAAGGATTTCCTTTATGAATAAGAAATGTTCATATTTATTTCTTTATAAACTGGCAAGATAAAATTAAAATTAGATAAATATTGCATTGAATTAGTTCTAATCAGAATGTTGTAAATATAAATTATTCTTGTAATTAATCTAATAGTTTTTTGGGTTTTTTTTCTTGTAAATTCTCAAGAACAAATAAAAAGTAAATGTATAAATTCATTTTCATATGTTTAGGTTTTTATTACAATTCTAATTACTTTTTAATGCAACAAACATTCTCTAGGAGTGAAGGTAGTTAAAATAATAGCAGTGTCAATGGAAAAACTGTCCTTTTGCCACTTATTTTCATTTCTAAACAAAGCTTTCTTTGAAACACTCTGAAGACTGAAAGGATTTCTAGCAGTTTTTTTTTTTTTTTTTGTTGTCTTTACAGGACCTTTTCCTTGCAAAGCCATCAACAAAATCCAGTGGAAAACATCAAAGACGTAAGTTTCAATCTGAATTCTAATTGTGTATAATAACCATCATTAATGAAAAATGGTAAATTAAAATTCTTTAAGTTTTGACTCTTTCCTCTCTTCTGATAATTTTGGAATGGCCTTTGTAAAAAAAAAAAAAAAAAAAATTTTTTTTTTTTCAGGGCCCCATTTTACATATTTTCGGGTGGCATGCCTCGTGCAAGCTATGGCGAGAAGCATACTGTAACGGTAATGCAAGAAGAGAATCAAGTAGTGTTTGACTTCACATCCAAAGTCATTGATTTTGTCACTATCACCAGAGCCGATGAGAATGACACTGAGAACGACCGCCAAGGTTTGAGGATTTTGAATTCTTCCTTCAATGATAAACAACAAATCAACTTAAAAGAGCTCTTCCCCCCCCCTCATCTTAAGATCTTGTGTTTATTGCATTTGTATACAAAAGTGAACATTTTCTGTAAAACATTTAGTCTAACAAGCCATTCCTACAGGGTTTCATTGCCTCACTACTTCTAGCCTTGAACCAGATTAAACAGTCAATAATAAATTTTGTAAATCTAAAGCTTTTAAGCTTTAGATTTACAAAATGTGCTTTCTGTGAATTTCATTTGATAAAAGTAACTCTAATTTCAAATATTAATTCAGGCTCTTTTAATCAAGTTATTTGAAACTTGATAAGTGAAGCCTTGTGAATAGAGGGATTGTAATTTTGCAATAAAAAAAAAAAACACTTAGAATCAGAAAGATGGCTGAAATTCCTGACATAATGAGAAAATTTAGAAAGAAAAAATGCAAAGTCCCTTTTATTCTTAAGGTGGGGGAGGGAGTGTTGAAATGTCAGTCGGTTATTTGCCATGCATGATACACGCTTAGGCGATCATGTATCTTTCAATACATGAATGATGAGGCAGATTTTTTCCCGTGGTAGGTTGCCATTTCTTTCTGCAGTAGACCAGTTGCCATCCAAGGCTATAGAATCCAGTCTGTCCTGTTATTTACCTATAGCTGGGGGGAGAAGAGGAGGGTTCATACCTTTCAAAAGGGTATTAGCATGTAAGTGAATGTAATGGACTTGAATGGAATTCGAACTTTGCTCTTGGATTCCTCAATCCGAGCCATTATCCATTACGCCACTGTAACTCCAGAAATAAATTCTCTAAAAATCACTTGATACTAGCTTTATTATTAAATAATGTCATCTACTTATTTTCCCTAATTAAGTTGTATTAAATGATTCTTTGCATTTTCATTTTTATTTTGTTTACATTCTTTATATAGCAAATCTACTCGGAAACCATTTTTAAACAAAATTCCTTCAGCAAAAACAGCAATTCCAAAAAAGTTAAGATGAAGGAAAAAATGTTGAATTTTAACTCTAACAGCAAAAATCACAACCAACCTTTTACCCTAACTTATAGATTCCATAAGTGAATCACATAACACACTGGCCCCGATGAAATTCATTATGAATTTCTTAAACAACTCCTCACAAAATCCTTAAAATAACTGTTAAACATCTTTTAACGAGATATGGTTTAAGGGCAAACTCCTGAATAGTTGGAAACAAGCTACTGTGATCCCTGTACCAAAATCAGATAAAGATAAATCAGATCAAAAAAACTCTTGACCCATGACATCAAGTTGCATATGCCAAACTCTAGCAAGAATAGAGTAAAATTGAACTGGTACCTCAAAACTAATGGTTTAATTACCAACCTCCAGAGTGGATTCCAAAACAAAAGAGGCACCATAGACAATATAGTCCACCCAGAGACATTCATTAGAGAGGATCTTATTAAAAAAAAAAAAAAAAAACATGCAGTAGCAATTTTCTTTGGTATAGAAAAGACCTATGTAACAACATGGAAATGTGGAATAATGAAAGACCTATACAATCTTGGATTAAAGGAGATTGCCCAATTTGATTAATAACTTTTTGTCAGAAGTTTCAAAGTTCAAGTCGGATCAGCTCTTGAACCTCAGAATCCGAGGTTGCATTCTTCTGTCTGTCACTCTTTTCAACATAAAAATTAACATTGTTAATTGCTTAAATCGAGGAATTGATGGTTCGTTATATATAGACGACATTGTGATCTGCTACAGATCAAAATAATATGCACACAGCAGAACGACAACTGCAAATGTGCCTAAATAAATTAAACTGATGGACTATTGAAAGCAGTTTCAAATTCTCCCCAACCAAAACAAAGTGTATCCAGTTCTGCAATCTGGGGAGTGGGGAATGCACAATGATCTAACTCTTCAACTTGAAGGAACAGATCTTGAAATCAATGACCAACATAAACTGGGAATCATTTTTGGGGAGAAAAAAAAAATTACTTTCATCTCCTTTCCCCCCCCCCCCACACACACACACTTAAAATACATAAAACAGAAATGCTTCAAAGCATTACAATTACTACGGGTTGTGGTTAACACTGACTGGGGATCAGATCGCATATCACTTCTGAAATTATATTGAACTCTAATAAGAATGAAATTGGACTACAAATGTTTCATATATGGGTTAACCTGAAATTCTACCTCTTTAAAAAAAAAAAAAAAAAAAACCCTTGACTACATCCACCATGCAGGATTGAGTCTGGCTTTGAGTGCCTTCAAAACATCACCCATAGAAAATTTATATACTGAAGCCCATGAGGCACTGTTAAAATTGAGACAAGAAAAACTAGCTGTACAATATTACCTAAAATTCAAATGCTACTCAACTAATCCTGCCTGCAACTGTATCTTTAATCCTAAATACAAAAATCTATTTGATATGAAAGAAAATTCTATCAAAGCTTTTGGCCTTTACATAGAAAATTTCAAAACTCAAAATAAATCCAACATAACTCAATAAAAGCACCATCTCAAAAACCCACCCTGGTTAATGAAACCCTCTATGATACTGCAAAACCTTACTAAATACCCTAAGATTAATACTGATTACATGGAAGAAATCCATAATGTTCTACAAGCACACCCAAATTATAAGGATGTATACATTGATGGCTCTAAAGTGTTGGACAATTGGATGCTCTGCTACACTTAACAATCTTACAATACAGAAACAATTCCCTAACAAAGTCTCAATCTTCAGTGCAAAAACCTCAGCCATACATTTGGCTTTAGATATTATAGAATCCAGATTCATTATCTATACTCGCAGCTCTGAAGAATAAAAACATGTATTTCCTATTGTATAACATATACCAATAATCTAGCAAGTAATAAGGAAAACTAATCCTAAACTATTGATTCAACCAAATTGTACACATGTTGCTATCATTAAAAAACATGACTTTTAGGGTCTATTGTAGGTAAGCAGTGTCAAGCCTAGTCAATACTTAGATGAAGTACTATTTACAAACAGCGGTTATTGTAAGCAACCTCCTATAATTAAATGTTTTAGCTTTAAAAATTAAAAAAAAAAAAAACCTACAAAGTGTTTCTGTATAATAAGCAAAAAAAAAAAAACAAACAAACTTGGGAGGTGTTTAAAGTGCAATATTTACTACTGGTAATCAATTAAAAGGAATTTCCCACCTCACTCTACTTATGTGGTAGGCAATGCTAATAGTTTATTTGTCAGATGTGGTTATCAGTTGAAGATGAAAAGATTTCTTTAAAAAAAATAAATTAATGAAATTGGTTTGGTCGATTGTCTTACTATTATAAAAATAAAAAAATTTTTGTATTTGACATTTTCTTGTTTTAATTTCTGATTTCTTCAGACTACGATGAACCTCACGCCCTAATTGTGCTGGTAGATGAAGAGATTGTGGTCATTGATTTGGATTCTCCCAATTGGCCAGCCTTTAAGTTGCCATATTTAAATAGTCTCCACTCTTCAGCCATAACTTGTGCTCATCATGTTGTCAATGTACCAGAACAACTATGGCAGAAGATTATTGATGCTGGGGAAACTCAAATTGGCAAATATTCTCACAGGGTAAGTTCCTTTCTTTTTTTTTTTTTTTTTTTTTTTTTTTAAGAGGCGGGTGTTTTCCTTTCTCTGCTTTCCTTCTTTGTTTGGCTTTGTTGATTTTTTTTTTTTTTTTTTTTTTTGTTCGTTCGTTTGTGTGTTTTTTTTGTTTGTGTTTTTTTTTTTGTTTTTTTGTGTTTTTTTTTTTTTTTTTTTTTTTTTGTTTTTTTTTGTTTGTTTTTTGTTGTTTTTGTTTTGTTTTGTTTGTGTTTGTTGTTTGTTTTTTTTTTTGTTTGTTTGTGTTGTTGTTTGTTTTTTGTTTTGTTTGTTTGTGTGTTGTTGTTTGTTTTTTGTTTTTTTTTTTTTTTTTTTTTTTTGTGTTCCATTCTAATTGAATGATTTTGGTGTTTTTTTTTATTTGTCTTTCAGAGCTGGCCAATTGATGGTGGTAAGAACACTTCCACAGAAACTTTGACCAGAGATTTGCTTCTTACTGGGTAAGTATTCAATTTCAACTTAAGCCTTTTCAAAGAATTCTTTCTTCAGTGGTAATTCTGACAAAGATAAACTTTGTAAACTTAAAATGTTAACCATTGCTGTCTTTTGATTCCCACTCCAAAAATAGGGTTTTTTTATTCTTAAATTTGTCTTCCTCCTTCAGCCATGAAGATGGTACAATCCGATTTTGGGATGCTTCCAGCACCAATCTCACATTCCTGTACAAACTGAACACTGCCAACATCTTCACTGGTGAAACCTCACAGCCAGATAATTCTGGGGGAGAGGGAGAAGAAGAATGGCCCCCTTTCAAAAAGGTATTTGAGCTGACGGATTCTATTGATTAGTCATTTAATTGTAAATCAAATGAAAGTTTTTCAATATACTTCATTTAATACATGAAAGCTTTGTACTCTGAAATTCAATAACATGGGAGTTGAAAAAATGTTTTTGTTTTTTGCATACACATGGGGTGGGGTGCTTGACAATCCAAAAATGAAAAAAAAAATGATTTGGTCACACTTTGAGAAATAGTTTAGAGAACTTTTCATCTCTCTCCCTTGGCTAAAGATAAAAATTTAGAAATTAGAATGTTGACAAGGTTTTTATTGTACACATTCTAATGAAACCTGAAAATATGGCTCAGAACTTCTGCCTCTGGCAATTCTTTTTAGAATCTGTATAGAATTTGCACTTTGTAAAAGCCTTACACTGTATATATATATATATATATATATCCATGGGTTGAGGGGTGGAGGGCTCTTGTTTAATGGGGTACATGGAGCAAAATAAGACTGTTCGCTGGCACAAGTTTTCAGTTACAAAAGACCATTTTCCCCACATTGTCTACCCAATTGTCACTCCAAAAGTAATGCCTCCTGTTTATTTCCTCAGAAACTACAACAAATACAGGGAGCCCACTGATACTGTTGGAGAGAGCTAGTTTACAGCTAGAAAACATTTTTCCGCATAGTCACCACTATTGGTTATACATTTTTTGCCTCCTGTTTATTTCTACAGAAAATTCCAGATGCGTTTTGGGTACGACTAGCCTTAAAAGGTTAAAGAAACCTAAGCCATCTGTTGTGTAATAAGTATGTTTTGTACAGATTAATTTCAGGTGTTATGATAAATAAATTGATCTAGACAAAAGTATGGAGAAATAACTGATATAGCAATATATTATCAATTCTCTAAAAGTTCTCAATACAGTTAAAACATTTTTGTTCCAATTCCTAATGAAACTACTGTTGACTCTTTGAGTCATGTGTTCCTGAACAATTTTAAACCTTCTTCTGCCTGAGCTCCTGAGTCAAAATTTGTAAATAATTGGTATGTAATGTTTCATGGTAGATATAAAAATAGCTACAAAAAATATAACTTTCTGGTTGCTTCCCTGACTGTCCAGGTTCTGTACAGTTCATCTTTATCCAAAACACAATAAAAAAGGCAGACATGTTGTATTTTACGACTTTTCTGATTGTCTCTTCAAAATGAGACAACCAATAGCAAAACACAATGCAAGTGTTTACCCACCATTCAATCGGTGGCTGGTCATTGTCATTTTTCTCTTCCATTGTTCAACTGGTGGCTGGACATTGTCATTTATAGAGGTATATTATCAATTCTCTAAAAGTTCTCAATACAATTAAAACATTTTTGTTCCAATATAATTTCTAATGAGATGACTGTTAAGGTTTAATCACACTGATACAAAAGAATTTTTGGTGGCTGAAAACACTTTGATTTGTCTAGTAAAGGTCCCGATGGGTTGTCTTAGGGTTTTATACTTACCCACCCAAATGTGCATTGTGGTGTAATGGCTATTGTCTCAGAGTAAGAACTCTGCTCACAGAGTTAAAATTCCAGTTGAATTCATTAGCTTCACTTATGCACAAATACCCTTCTTCTCCCATGGCAACCTACTGTTGGGCGAGGGGGGGGGGAATGAATCTGCCTTGTCAGTCATGTATCAAAAGATACACAATTGCCCAAGCATGTATCATGCATGGGACTTGAGTGATCCTTGACTTGGGTAAAGAATTTGATTGTGTGTGTATGTAATCAATCTTCCTTTCATGCACGTTTCATTGAATACGACAGACAAGGTGCTTTTGCTTTGTTTTTTTTTATATACAATTTTTCATGCAATCTAATTTTTTTTCTTTTCAGATGATAAATTATATAACTGTCCAAATCTTCTTTTTTATCTGAGTGCTTTCGGCTATATATTTAGCCATTTTCAAGGATGAAATATTTTAACTGTTAAATAAGAAATAGTTTGTATGTTTTATAAAATGTTTTCATTTTTCAAAACACGGTCAAAATATTGTGTCCATGTTCATAATTAATACTATTAAGTGTTAGTTTTTATTAATAAGACTTGCATTATTTTTAGCCTTTTTTGCATGTAGATGATGCTATTATATTAGTGCTGTCAACAAGTATGTTACGAATAGTGTCCAGTAGGTTTCAATGAAATGTGTATATATATATATATATATATATAAAAAAAATGATCTCTTGTTGCCAAATCATCTTAGGTTTTTTTTTTTTTTAATCCTCTGTTCACCTCCTTTAATCAGCTTAAAACATATGCAATTAAAATACCTTACAGAACCTGAAATAAAACAGGCCAATATAAGAATTTTTTTTTTTTTTTTTTTTTTTTTTTTTTTTTTTCAAGGTTGGCAGTTTCGATCCTTACAGTGACGATCCACGTTGGGCAATCCAAAAGATTGCTCTCTGTCCCCTCAGCGAGACGCTGATGGCTGCAGGCACTGCTGGTCAAGTCATTGTCTTACAAATGGAACGTGAGCACCGTGAACAGGAAGTAAAACATGTAACCATAGACATTGTGAGTGACACTGATAACTTTGTATGGAAGGGCCATGAAGCACTGACGCTTCGGGAAGGTGACCTCAAGTTTGCCCCTGGCTTCCAACCAACTTGCGTCATGCAGCTGTCACCACCTGCTGCTTGTACTTCACTTACAATCAACTCGGAGTGGCAAGTGTAAGTATGTTTTTTTTACTTCTATATAGTACAGTAAAACCTCAAATTAAGTCCCAGAAACAAGATTCCGGATTTTAAAACTTTTCAAACTTTTACTTAAAGGTATATAGTAACTTATATTAAAGTTAGTTAGTAACTTAGTAAGAACTCATGCATAGCAAGCAAAGTCTGTTAGTTCCAGAATTGGACACTATTGTTTACTGGTGCAATCAACAGACAAACTTGTAGTTCTGGGAATAGCCACTGTTGTTTACTTGAATGCTCACTGTGTACACACATGCATCATCTCTCTAACATTTTATACTGATTTTGGTACAATATACAGTATTGTTTTTTTGTGAAGCCCTTTACTATGACATCCAATTGTAATTTATTTGAAGTTACTATATAGTAACTTCAAAATAAAATACACATACCTATATATTGTATTTACATTTATAATAATTTTGTACTGTAATGGGTATTTTTAAGCCACAAGAAAGTGCTTCAAATTAACAAACGGCTTTAACAGGTGACTCTCCTACCCAGTATTAATCTGTTAAATTGAGGTCCCACTGTATTTTGTAACTGGTTCTATTAACTCTTGTATTATGATAATAGTGAAACTATTTTCATCCAATAAACATTTGGCATTCATTGACCAAACACCATTGCTATTGGTTGAAATTATAAAATGTTTTTCTTAAGTTTATCAGGAAATAATTCTCAAGTCAACTGTTACTTCTCCTCCTAGTATTGATTGGAGTTTCCTTCCAAACCTTTGTTTTTGGTTGTCATTATTTTCTCTATTTTCTTAAATGTGCTAGCCATTTTTGTTGTTGCTGTTGGAAGTGTTCAATTGATGTGGTTTTTATTTGGTAAAGATCTTTAGTTTTCTAGTGTCAGTCTTTCAGGCCTGATGAAAGCTCCTCTTATTTGTGTAAGAAGCAATAATATAAAGAATCCACTCTACATTTGGGTTACTATCATTAGATTATGATGCTAAAAAACTTGTACGAAATGTTTCTGTCTTGAGTTCCCGAAACCTTCCTTGCGTGTTTGAGTGCCTTTTTGTCAAAGTCAAAAAACATTAGGCAATGATTTTGATCAAACTGACTTGGTCTTTTTACCTATATAAAAATATAAGGACACTAAAAATGACTGATTTCTTAAATTTGTTTTTTGTTGTGCTCAGAAGATTAAAATGTACTGGGAAAATCCTCAGACTTCTGAATAAGTTCAGTTCTGTAATTAAAGCTTTTTTCTTTTTTTTTTTTTCTTTTGTCCAGTCTCACACACACACACACACACACACACACTAACAGGCTTCACCCGCTCACTATCACTTCACAAAGTAAGATATATTCACTATTTGAAATCTTTGAAACAAAGATTTTAAATGCCCATTTCATTCATAAATTTGCTTGTTATAGTTAAGGAAAGTAAATACCGTGTGTAAATTACTATAAAGTAGAGCTGGGGGTCTTTTTAATCACATAATTTGTGGGAGAATTGAGCTCCAATTTTGTATTTATTCATATAAATTCCAAAATGTCTTAATTAGCTATTATGTTTCTCTAACTCTTCAAATGTTGAATGTATAACTAATTCTAATTTCTATTTTCCCCAACTTTACCCTATATTAATTTTCTTATAAATTGTCCCCTGTTTTGTCACCCACGAAATAAAAATAATTGTTTGTACAGAAAATAAGGATGTATGTACATAAAATCGTCTAAAATGGCAGCAGAAGAATTATTGTTGAACATTTAAAAGGTAAGATTAAGCATTAATTCAATACTTAAATGCAGCAATTCAATTTTGAGTTCTTCTGTAATTTATTGATGCCTATCGCATCTACTCCTCTCTAGCTATTGTGATCATGGTCAAACCCTGAATCCTCCACAGGAGCTAGCTAAAATGCCACCCAATAGGGTGGCTTTTAAAAGTTTTTTTTTTTTTTTTTTTTTAAATAAACCATGCACTGCAATTTTGGATACAAAAGGAAAATAATGGCTAGTATAATATATTAATATATATTTTTAACATCACATAATCTGACAACCCTGAATCTGAGCTGAACAAAAATCGTTCCCTGTGCCTAACTTTTCTAGAGCTTTTGAATGAGCTATGAATCATTGAAATCAAACCAGTGGGGGTGGAGGAGTTTCTTGGGCGCACACATACACTGTACTTTATATATGACACACACACACACACACACAGTAATGATCCCTAATTGATATGAAAACTAATTTTTTTTCAAATACAACTTGTTCTTTTTATCTTGACGTTCCTGATCATGGTAAGGAATTTATTGAAATTGTTTAATTGCCTAAGTTCTGGAATTGGTAAGACATAATTATGCAAAAGAAGCAGGGAAAATAAAACTTTTGTCTTCATTGCAGAGGGGCAGCAGGTACAGCTCATGGATTTGCTCTTTTTGATTACTGTCAAAAGAAAGGAATTACTTCTCGTTGTACACTTAACCCCAATGGTGAGTAAAGAAAATCTTTTTTTACTCCAGTATAGAAAGTTTACCTGTATCTTCAAATTCTCCTCTGCACTCCCCCCTCCTCTCAAAAGAGCCCTGAGAATCTCTTCAGTTCATAGAAGTTACTCTGATCTAATGAATTATCTAAAAATGTCATTTTGCTTTGTCATAATTCCTGATTCTCTACTGTAGTACATGTCTGTTTTTTTTTTTTTCTCTCTCCTCTCTCCACCACCATTGGACTAGTCTGTTAACACTTTTGTGTATAAATTACCTTAATCTTTCCTTGAATAAAAATCTGACATGCCTTAGGCCAATTTGGCCACATAGTACCTCCTGAGTAGTGCTTTTGAACACACGTTTTCAAGTGGTATTTGCACGAGAAGCTCCAGTATGAACATTTGTGTTTGGGTGTCAATTTGAGGACAGTGCAAAGGATTTGGAAAGAGTCGGAGGAGTCTAATGGTGATTACGAAGGTATGGCAGTGGAAAACTTTGATTGTTCTGATAAGAAAAGAACTCCTGAATTTGTTGAGAGGGTCTCAACACAGAGGCTTACATTGTGCCCTGAGGCAGTACTGCCCTGGGTCAAGAGGGTGGTTGCTGGAAGACCCTATGTCTGAAGCAGGACTGCTGCACCATGCCACACAAGCAGGAGAATGTCATGTCTGTCAAAAGATTTCTGCGACCACATTACTCTTTACATCTGGTCACCTAACTCCTCAGACTGCAACCCGCTTGATTATTATGTAGAGAGACTGAGACCCCTTCTAACACTAGAGATGAACTGAAGACAAGGATTATGGCAGCATTCACCAACTTAAGCAAGGAGACTCTCTCCGGAAGAGTTGCTGGAGATTCTAAAGTCATCTGGAGGCCGTGGTTGAAGCCAATGGTGATTTTATTGAATAAATTTACTCTTTAGTATTTAAAGATAGATTTACCAAAAATTACACAAAAATATCTGTTAAAATGAAATGTCAGTGTTATTTTCATTTTTGTGTAATTTACATGACAATTTATCCCTCGCACCCTATATATATATATATATATATATATATATATATATATCTGTACATTTTGTATTTTAAATTATTAGTATATATTATATTAGTGTATATTTGTATCTAAATTATAGTTATATATTAGGATATCTTTCTCAGCAGCAAGTTTGCATTAGTGTATAGATTTTTCTTCCATGCCCCGCCTTTTTTTTTTTTCTTGCCCTCTTTCCCTAATTTCTTTTGGTCTATACTTGTAAATATATCTTCTGCTTTTTAGGAACTTTGGGCTAATACTAGCCTTTCTCAAAGACATGTGCACATGTATTTTTGTCTTGTGTAACAAGACTTAGTGTAAAATTTTATTTGTAAAACATTAAATATTTACAAAATCTCTAACAATGCTCTTTACGACATTTAATTTGGGAATATTAATCATGAAGATTGAACATGTTTAGATAACTTTAGACATTAATCTACCCTTGAATGTGAAAAACTACCATTAATCCTCTTGGGGAAATTTTTGCCTTTGAGAATTTTGGACTTGTGATGAAGCAGCAATGGAAGTTTATTATGAAGGCTCTAAATGCCTAATACATTCAGCTTAATCTAGTCTGTCAAATAGACTCCTTAAAACTTTGAAGCCATTTCACTTGGAAAATTACCCTATCATTGATAGAATCTCTTAAACCTGTTTGCTATTGTTGTGAATATTTTTTTTTTCCCCCCTTTCCCTAATTGTTACCTTTTTGGTTTTTTTGCAGATGTGTCTGCTGGAGTCATGGCTGATTCCATTCTTTCAAGAAGAAAGTCTTTGAAGAAATCCCTTAGAGAATCTTTCAGACGATTACGAAAATCTCGTGCCAAACGGGAGAAGGCTAAGAAAGAAAAGAGGTAAGAATTTTCATTCTGATCTTAGAATTAGAAAAAACAAATTCTATAACCTACACCCCACCCCCAACACTGTTTTTTGTACCAAAGTTGCCAGCAGTAAAGAGTTGCTCAAGTTCTATGAATAATCTTTTTATTCAAATGTGGCATATCCATGAAAGCTTTTGTTCACAAGAGGGGCATGTTTTTGTGTTTTTAGTTTTTTTTAGTTCCACTGTCCAACTAGAGGAATACTGGTTTCTTTCAAGGGACAGTGTGAATTTTTTTTTTAGATAAGGGTTTGCATGGGTCCTTTGGATAGAATGAATTGGATTCATACCTTTCAAAAAGTCAGCACAGCATTCAGCCAGAACTTTAATTCTGCTTGCCAATTCCACACACACATATATATACACATATATATATATATATATATATATATATATATATATATATATATGTGTGTGTGCATGGACTAAATTCCATTAATTTGATATCTGGAATGAAACCTCACTGGTTAGTTTACTCTAACTATTTTTAACTACTTTTCCATATTTAGAGCATCTTCCTTCACAAGGACTATAAATGGAGTTCATCCATTAAGGAGATTGTCCCAACTTTTTTTCTTCCTATCATTATAGAATTTGTAGACTTAATTGTTTGTGTAGAATAACACAAGCTTTAATAACCACATTTGAAACGGACATGTTAAAGCATCAAGAGGAAAGAATGACAAAAATGAAAAAAGGTGTAAATTATCATAAAGTGGTAGTATCAAAATACAAAACACTAAAAAAGGGTATTTTAACCAGTTGATAATTCTTCTCTCATTCCAACCAGGGATGATAAATACACAGCAACTACAATGAAAAACATCAAAGGCTAATTATATTTAAACCTAATAACAACTCTTCCTGCATAGAGGGATGGCTGGCAGGACTTAATATAAATTGATTATAAAGTGTTGTGAAAATCTGTGAGGCTTTCTTGGTACCAAGTCCCTCTCGGTTATGAGACATTGATGATTGCTTAATAATAATAAAAAAAAAGGTTCAATTGTCAAACCAGTCATGTTAACACAGATTTTTGAAAGATTCAACAGGTTAAGCTTTTTTTTCTCTTTACAGTAATGTCAACTTTATTTTAATATCCATCCTAATCAATATTAAATATTGTACATCCTCTTAAAATTTAAGCTTTGTTAAAGATCAATATCAAAGGTGAAGAATTGGGAAGAAATGTTGCTGATATTTCGAAGCAATACTTTGTTGGTGTTTTTTTTTTTTTTTTTTTTTTTTTTTTTAAGCAAGGGTTCTCTTTATAATTAAAAACATCGGAAATCTAGCTTTTAAAACAAACTATAGAATAAAAGGATATATTGGCCCATAGAGTATCGAAGTTTAGCTGATTGTGGTTTTTTTTTTTTTTTTTTTTTGTAACTAATTTGTTTACTGCCTGCTCTAACCTCTTCTGCTTAGGCATTGTGAGAAATTTGCCTTCCTCTATAAAAAAAAAAACTCTTTTAATGACGTCCTGCATCTTTGCTCGTCGACCCTCCTAGGAATAACTTAATCGAAGAAGCCCTTTCATATATTAACCGTTCTGAGAATAAGTACACCACTTGATTGTTATCTTTTTTAATCTTCATAAATCTATCAATTGCTGCCCTTTTTAATGCAAGGCTGGTCAAATCTCCAGCATGGATGCCTAGCAGCTTTTCTTGGCATGTTGTGATGCTGTGTGTTACATTTTTCCAGAGCCAAGAAGAATAAAGACGTGATTGGGTATGTATCTCTCTTTCACTCCCAATTGCCCCCCCACCCTCAAACTTCACTAACCTTTACCTACTCTCTCTTTCTCTCCTTCCCCTTGTACAGAAATTGTAAACATGTCTTCTTTAGCAGTAGTTTTTAGGGGTTTTAGAATTTTTAAAATTTTGGGCTCTTTAGAATGGAGTTTTTGTTTGGAAATGATTGAAATATTTTGTTGGTAGTAAAAAAAAAAAAAAAAAATTTTCATATTTTATATACAAAGACATTTTTGTTAAAAAATGCATCCCCCCCCCTCAAAGGCTTTCAAATTTAAAGATTTTTGTTTTATAAAAAAAAAAAAAAAATAACAGTATGAAAAATAATTTAATTTTAATCATGAAAACTAAATTTTGTCCTTAAAACTTAAACATTGAAAGCTGCATTTATTTTAATGTCGGATTCTTCCCACTCTGGCATTTTTTTTTTTTTTTTTTTTTTTTTTTTTTTGTAACAAAGATGCTGGATTTAAAATTCCTTTCTTTGTTTCTCATTACAAATAAGATATTTCATCTCCAAACAAAATGGTTATCTTTAAAAAAAAAAAAAAAAAAATTGAAAATCCTTATTCCAAGAGTGGTTTCAACTATTGGTTACCAGTTTCAGCTGTCCCCTCAGAGGAAGGGACTAAAGAGATCAAATCTGATTCCAATGACCCACCCCACTCAAAAGTTCAATAGCCCAAACAATTCTTGGAATAATTTTTTTTTTTTTTTTTTGCAGCTGCACTTAGTTAATAAATGCACATAGAATTTGTCTTGGATTTTCCTCTTAAGATTCTTTGTTTTTCTTTTAATTTTTTTTGCGCTATTAGCTTTTGATATTTGTACTTAAGGTCATAATTTAATTTTTCTTTTATATATATATATATATATATATATATATATATATATATATATATATATACTAAATATTTTGGATAAATTTAACTATATTCAACTTCTCAGCCACCTAATAATTGCAGGTGATAAGTAAAGTTGAATGTATTTATAAATTTAGTCAAAGATTTAAAAGTTTAAAATTTTTTTTTTTTTAAATTGTCCAAAATAAGGCTTGAAAAAAGGGGGTGGAAGTAATTCATGTAACTAAATATGTTAAGCCTCCTGAAAAATTTCCCTGCTCTACCTATGTAAAAATTAGCCTTTCAAATGATGGTAACATGTGACTGATATCTTTTTGAATTTTAGTTTTGAGCAACTTAACATAGTTGTACTGAAATGCTTTACAATCAGTTCCTTTAATCACAAATAACTTGCCCTGTTTTGTTCTTTTCCTCTCTCCATACATTTACATCAACTGGATAATGCTAACATTTGCTTAATCCAGATGCATGTTGTAGACTTAGAACTGTAATCAACTTAGAGCTTTTTACTTATATAAAAACTTCTTATAATATAACCTGATGATTTTTTTACTAAATGTGTTCCTCTCCTGGGTATTGTCAGGCATTGCAACTCTGTGTTCTTGGTATTTCAGATCACACTGTAGTATCTGTTATTTCTTTTTAATTTGATTATAAAAGTGTCCTCAATGAGACAAAGCCTTCGTTCACTGACAGAATGAGAAACTATACAGCCTCTAACAAGTCTGGTTCTTGTGGCTACAAGAAGCCAGTTAAGTGTCAAATATTCCTCCTCCTTTTCACTCAATTTGAGTCATTAACATTTTCTTCTGATAAAGTAGAAGACTATGCTCATAGAATTCTATTCTAATTCTGTTCTTGACTTTGCAGGGGTATCTTTGCCCGAGTTTCCACCTAGAACCAAGTCTCTATTGTGTGATATGCATATGTCATGGTGCCTGCTATTATCTCTAAACTGGATCCCCTTTCTCACCAAACATGCAGACTTGAATGGTATCCTTGCAATAGTCCTTAAGAAATGTGCTACTGAACTGTCTTCTCTTCTCAATAGATGCCTTGCTGCTTTTTCATTTCCAGAGTGGAATTTCTTTTCTGTAATTTGTTTTTTGTTTTTTTTTTGTTTTTTTTTTTTTTTTTTTGTTTTTCCAAGAACCTTGATAAATCATCTGGTCCTTCTGTTGACCTTTTCATTTTTTTTTTTTTTATTTATTTATTTATTTTTTTTTTTTTTTTTTTTAAGTCATAGAGGCACTAATCTAATCTGATATGGTTAAATATATCACCTCTCATGGTGATCTTTCAGACAATATGGCTAATTAACTGCTGATTAAGTTTTTGCTGAAAAAGGTTATCAAACTTTATATAAGAATGGTAAAGCTTGCACTGTTGCTTTAGTTATCTCAAAGGCATTTTGACACGGTTTGACATTCTGGTCATCTTCACAAACTGAAGAGGTATTTCTTGCCAAAATTTTTTTTTTTTTAGGCGGGGGGGTAGATAATTTTTCTTGCCAGAATCTCTTATATATTTAAGTCTACCAATTCATCTAGGCATTGAATATTGCTGCCACCTCTGGTTTGGTGCTTCTGTTATATATCCGGAAATTCTTAACAAAATCTAAAAAATCTGCAATGTTATTGATCTTGGCCTGGCATCTAGCCTTAAGTCACTTTCCCACTACTGTAACATAGCTTTACTGTGCCTTTTCTATAAATATCTCCATGGTAATTGTTCTGATGAGCTTTCCTCTATAGAACTTCATAAATTTAAGTGCAGTACTAGATTGGCAGCTAGGTCTCATCATTTTACTGTTGAGATGGCTAGATGTAACCGTAAGTTCTATGCTAATATTCTTCTCTTGTACTTCTCACCTGTGAAAAACTATTCCAACTTCTTGCTTTCCTGCCAACTTTGCATTTAAAGTTTTGAATATCGATGTCAATTGTCATTTTCTGTCTCCTTGAGTCGTTTTTTTTTTTTTATTCTCTTTTCTTAATGTTTTCTTTTTCTTTCTTTTTCACTTCCAGTAACCTCTTGTCTCGGTGGTTTTTATCAACTTGCTTGCAGTGAAATATATAATCTCAACTTTGAGATTTCAGTTCCTGAAAATGTCAAACCACTCAATATTATGAAAGACATACATACATGCCTATACACACACACACACACACACACACACACACACACACACACACACACACAGATTTTGTTAAAATCTTGAAACTCTTGCATGGTAAATTTAATTTACCCTCATTGGAGTAAATTCTCAAGACTCTCTGCTACTACTTGAAGAGGGGGGAAAAAAAAAAACCCTTCTCTTTTATATAAAGTTGTGCCACATTTCTCCTTACAAGTGTCTTAAGTATGCCAGTTTCATTTAAATGATATTTATACATTTACTTTGTCCAAATTAATAATGCTCTCAAAGTAATGGATACTTGTGTTCCTACAGCCATTCTTGGGCATTTCCACAAAGTGGTGCTCTGTGAAAATGGTGGAATCTAATTCTAATTGGTCAGAACCAGTCTTGGTTGTGGAGGACACTATAAAAATAAGTTCTTTTGCTTGATTACTTTGAATTGTGTAATCTTAATACATTTTAACATTGTTCTATTTTTTTTACTACCAAAATGTTTGTTTTTGTATTGTTGCAATTACATTTGAATGGCTTATAAAGTTGAAAAGAGGCTTTACAAACTTTACAAGATATAAGTTTAATCTGAGTAAAGTCATAACTTCATCTCTATCAAAATTGAGATTATTTTCAGAACAATTCTCTCCTTTCTGAAAAGCTGTGATGAATATATAAAATGAGATTTTTGATTTAATCACCAGATTGCAGCTGGTTTCATTGGGTCAACATGTCTTTAATTCCTCAAGTTAATAATCCAAGGACAGGTCTTCAACTTTGGAATGAATCCTAATCTATCATGGTTTTCTGTTTGTACTTGATCAGGCAAAGGAATATAGAAACCATTCTGTCTGATGTAAAAACATATTGTGAAAGGAAGCTGCTTGCTTAGTTTCATTTATGAAAGAATTTGTGCAAATGACTTCATCTAAAAAGACCTCCATTTTGTTTTTAAAGGCTAACAAGTGCTTAGCCTTGCCTAGCAGTGACATATTGCCACCCCAATGACTCGGATTCCCCTCCACATGCACACTTATTGATGTTATTTTCATTACAGTGGCAAGGTGAGGGTTAAGTTATCATTGATAATAAAAATTGGAGTAATGGTATCTTTTCAATGTTTTTGTTGGTTTCTGTTAATTTTGTCTTTTTATTCAACATTTTTTGTTTCAATGATCAGTTTTTGACCAAGAATATTGAAATTATGGAATAAACAGTTCAATAATTTATCTTCCCAATTTGATATCTTTCAGATGTAAACTACTCGTGTGCTAGATCAATTGAATTTATTAAAACACTCTCTCCTCTCTCTCACACACACACACACATATATATATATATATATATATATATATATATATATATGTGTGTGTGTGATAAGTCAACACTTAGAGGTGACAGTCTGTTTCATGCTAGATGTAATCGTCAAGCATGAAACACTGTTGCCCCTATGTGACTTCTATGTTCACTTTTATATTTGAGCACTTTTATCCCATAAATATAGCACATCTTAAGACTATATTTCTTTTTATATATATATATATATATATATATATATATATATATATATATATATATAGTCAACTCTCCCGTCAAGATTCGACGTATGAGGCCAAGCAGATCAGTTTCAGGAAACTGACAGCCCGACAACACCGCACATGAGATTTGATTATAGTGGTGAAGGCTTTGTGCAGGACCATCCACTCTTTTTGAAGAGACGAATACAGAGACCTGGTGCACTGAGTGCCTCAAGGTCCCCAAACAACCCTCCGCAGGTTTTGAATTCAGAGTTGTCCTTCTCTTTGACCAGTTGCCATCCAAGGCTATAGAACCCAGTCTGTCTTGCTATTTTACCCATAGCTGGAGGAAGAGGATTCATACCTTTCCCAAGGGTATTAGCACGTTAGTGAATGTAATGGATTCGACTGGAATTCGAACTCGGCTCTGCGATTCCTCAATCCAAGCCGCAACCATTACCCCACCATATATATATATATATATATATATATATATATATATATATATATGAGAGAGAATCTACAAAATTTGAAGTTGGTCAGATAAGTTCCTGAACTTTTTATTTTGCTTACTGTTAATGCTCTCTTGGTATTGAGCACTTTGATTACAAATATTATTTACCTCAAAAGTATTATCCTCCAGAAATATTTGTCTGTGTTTGATTTCACAAATGTCTCGTATACTTACATACTTATTCCAAATGACAAATTTCTAGATTTCTTTTCATATAATTTAATTTTCTTTACATATTCAATCTGGTGAGTATACAGGTTTGTTTTTTTTTTTTTTTTTTTTAGCCTTTGACATTCAAAAGAATCTTTTGCATTTCTTGTTGGTTGCATTATATCATCTTGTTCTTTGAGTTCTACTTTTGTTAGCTTTCTTTTCAAAATTGCACAATTATTAATACACATTCCTCTTTGTTCTTTCTTCTAAATATTGTGTTCTATTTCAGTGAAACGGTAGAATCTGGTGAGGCGGCAGCAGCTGCTGCTGCTGCAGCTCCCGAAGGAGCTGCATCTACTGAAGGAGCCACTGCCAGCGCCTCTCCTCTCTCTTCCTCTCCGGAGATCAAACCTATGGAGCGACAGGTTGAAGCCCGTAGCCTAGATGATTCTATGGCTTCCATTGTCAGGTTCCTTTATTTTGCTGATACCTTTGCTGTTAGTGGTAAGTGCAAACCTAATCTTTTTGCCTTAGTCTGGCACAAGGCCAAGTGATTAGTGCAACACAATTTCCTTTATGGCATTATAAATATGTAACTTTTCGATATTATAAAACTGGGAAGACTATCCTAGGTTGGCTCTGGGTGGCTCAAACATAGAATCTGTTTGAGTTAAGGGATTGTTAGGGTACTAGCACTTACTAACAACTAATCATGTAGAGACAACTTCAGGATTGTTCTCTAAAATTGGGAAGACCCATATCGAGGTACAAGGATAAATTTGAGCAAAACCAAAATTCCATTTTCATCTCACATGTTCTTTCAGGGAAGTGGCTTCAGATGGCTTGTGTGTGTGTGGGGTGTCAAATGAAGGAGTGTGCATAAGGAGTATAACCACTTTTGAACATCTACATATTACGAGGCAGAGCACTGAACACTGCTCTAGCATTGCTGCAGCCTTCACCAAGGAGTTCTGTTCCTTGTCCTCTAGGTGAAATGTTGTTGGTCTCAAACTGGCCTTAAGTTACTGAAGGTGCAAACACAGGTAGAGCATCAAGGGTGGAACATGATGTTGAATCCTCAAATGTTTTTAAAAAAAAAAAAAAGTTCATGTGGCCTGCAGAGTTGGCGATAATAAATTGACTAAGCAGACACACACACCTCACTTAGCTGATTAGTGTTTGGATGATTTTTCTTTGTGTGTAGGATTCTGTGATTGTTTCTTTTCAATTTTTTTTTTTTTTTTTTTTTTTTTTGTCCCCTTTTACTCTCATTATTCTTTTTCTTTATCTTTTGACTCTGAATGTCAAAAGATGATCTGACACTGTTATATCTGGTGTCCAACGGCAACTTGTTTCCAGAATCTTCTAGGATTTTCTACAGCTCTTGAAAATAAGGTGTTTTTATTTTTATTTTTTTTTTCCTCTTATTTAAATTATAAAGACCATTGGTAAACTTTCAAAAACTAACCCTGCCAACACTAAAACTAGCAAAGAAAAACACCTGAAAAGAACAAAGTAAATGAAAAAATAAAAAAAAAAATGAAAAAAAGCAAATGAAAAAATAAAAACAACTTTGAAACAGAATAGAAAACAAAATGTGCACGCCTACCTGCACAAAAACTAAAAGTGCTCAGTACCTCTAGAAATTACTGACAGAACAATGATACTAACAAACCAAACAGGACTTGGATCCAAATCCTAACTCCCTTTAGGCTTTTGAATAGGAGTAGTGGTTTAATCCCTTGTTTGCAGTTCCTTCTAAACTCTTTTCATTCTCTTTCACTCTCAGTAACCCATTGCGTTTTAATGACATTATCACTTTGTTTGGGGCGAATTGATTTAAAAAATATGCATTTTAAATCCTGGCTTTAACTGCTGGTGCAAAATATACTCCCTCGGCCACCAATCAGTTCATGTAAAATATTTGATCTGTGCTTAGATTGTATTTAATTCTGCACCTTAAATGTTATAGATTAATTTGGTGTTGTCTTTTGATTCATTTGTCTGTTCAAATGTTGCACTATCCTTTCAGCTGCCGCTCATCAGCCTACTTTGTGGGTAGGTACTAATGCAGGCCATGTCTACATCTACACCATCATAATACCTCCCAGTGACAAACGCGCCTCTGAATCTGTCAGTTGTCGCCTAGCAAAAGAGATCAAGCTGCGTCATAGAGCTCCAGTCATTTCTATGGCCGTGGTAGACAAACGTGCCCGCGTTCTCCCAGAACCTCTTGAAGTCCAACATGAACGCGCAAAAGCACCAGACATGAGCGGAGAACATCAGCTCATTGTTTGTTCAGAAGAACAGTTCAAGGTCAGAGACTTCTCTCTCTCTTTTTTTTTTTTTTTTTTTTTTTTTTTTTTTTTTTTTTTTTTTTTTTTTTTTTATGATTGAAGGGAACTTCTCTGCATTTGTGCAGCACTTAATTTCAATGTAAAAGCTCTTGCAAAGAGCTGGATCATAAGTATTAATTTTGCATACTTCCGTTTGGTTTTCAAATGATTTTCATAATTTGCCTAAATTCTTAGTTTTTAAAGTTTTCGTTTTAAAATCATTGCAAAAATAATCTGCCAACTATATCTGCTAAAAACATACTTACTACAGGACATGACTTCAGAGTTTCTACAATTAAACAGCCAAAGACTAAATTGGGTAAAAAGTAATTAAAATCTCCCAAAAAGTCAAAGTAATTGTATAACAAATACCACTCAAAACATCTGATAGAATAAGTCCTTAAAATATTGCCTAAAGTTTTTCAAGGGAGATAAGCTGGTTTTAAACGTCTTTTTTTGTTTTGTGTTTTTTTTTGTTTTTTTTTTTTTTTTTTTTTTTTTTGTTTTTTTTTTATTTGTCTGTGTTACATTATTTTCTTTCTTTTCAGGTATTCTCCCTTCCCAGTCTGAAACCTGTATGCAAACACAAACTCACGGTTGTGGATGGTTCAATGGTTCGAAAATTATCATTTGTTAATTTTAGGAGCCGCAGTGGTGAGTAATCCATTATACCAATTTTTCACTTCTCATCCACTTTTTAAATTATTGGATAAGGCTCCATTGACATGTTTGGTAATAAACTTTTTTTTTTTTTTTAATACTTTATAACATAAGAAAGCTACCACACAGGGCATTTGTAATGCAAATAAATAATCTGTGAAACATACATGACAAATTTAACTTTGGTGATATTAATTTTTATCAGAATTATTTGAATATTCTTACATGATTGGCTAGTTTAGATTTCTTTGCATTCTAAATACAAGAGGTTGTTTAAACTAAATGTGATGGCTTTTAAAATAGCCTCCACGCACACACACCCACCACTTAAATTCTCAAATTTTGCAGGGTGGTCAGTAATATTTTTTTAAAAATTTTATCAACTGGAATAGAATAAAGCTATTCATTACTGTCTTGAAGATAGTTGGAACTCTTTAATTTTTGTGCAGTCTTTAATATCTACAAAGTCAGACAGTATTTACTAGACATTCCAAATACATTCCACCCTGTCCATTCGACATCAGACAACAGGTTGTTTGATATTTGGTACAACAACAAAAAGTGCAGAGATTTCATTGTAAATACAGCTCAATGCAACTTTCAGAGTGAATTTTCCCATGCTCTTAAATTTGAACTCTCGTTTCTTCAAGGCACTTGAAATTTTTAGACCAATTGCTATAATATCCCCTATTTTAAGTTTCTGCTTGGTCTTCATTTTGTCCTCATTTTGTCCTCTATACATTACCATATCTAATAACTGGTGTTTAGTCTCTGGATGACTGCCTCTTCATCTAAGCACATTTTATAAAAATAACTCCTTGCTGGCATAAATTCTTGTATGCTCATTTCCGAGTTTTTTTTTTTTTTTTTTTTTTTTTTTTTTTTTTATTTTTAGATGAAAACTACAGTGAGTTTGATATTGCCTGCTTGACTAACCTGGGAGATCTGAGAGTTTACACCATTCCTAATCTCAGACTACAACTGTCAGCATCTGCTTTGAAGAAAGAAGATCTCAAGTAAGTTTGTCTTTTTTAAATTGCATTGTAAATAACAATACTTTATTGGTGGAGAAAAGACAATAAAAAAAAAAAATCTTTAATTGAAGACCAAAATTTTTGTTTGCAATTCTGCACTTACGATTTGATGCTGTTCCTCTTCTGTCGCTGTGTGTGTGTAATGCGATAAAAGTTTTAGTTTCAGGAAAAATTGTCTCTGACCATAATTGATTTAATCATTCACTATGATTCCTTTTCAAATGTTCTCACTCCTAAAGTGTCTATTCTAAGGTGTTTGTCACCTGACACTTCTGTTCATCACTAGGTGAATAGGATAAACTTCTTTATTCACTGGGTACCTTTTGAAGATTTAAATCAAAATCACTACCTAACCTACCAAACTCACACACTTTTGTCTTGATTGGTTTGGGTTTCTGCTCAAGAATTCTTGTTATTTTAACAGAATTCTCATTGAGGGTGGCTTTTATTCACAAAATGGGTTATCTTGAACACAGATTCTTTCCATTTTGAGCTGTAATGTCTGAACAGTAATAATAGCACAAATGAAAAAATAGGGGAAAAAAAATGGCACAAGTGAAAAATGGACTCTTTAAGACAACTTAAAATTAAACAGCTACTTTAAATTTCTAATCAGAGGACAGTTGATGTCTTTTTACTTCTGGTTCAGTTGTCTGAGAACCGTCAGGTACACACCATTGATCTCATTGGCTCTTCTACCACAACCCCATCATGGAAGTCCTATTAAGTAATATAGGAAAAAAGACTTCTTTCTAAGGATATGTGAGTAGAAAATATAAGATCAAAACTCCTCTCAGATGGAAATGTTTTTCCTATTTTTATACTAGTGCTTTTTTTTACCTAAATTCATAATGTCTGATAGCTTTTAACTAATTTTATTTACCAAATTGTATCTAGTTTGTTAGAATATTTAGTCAACTATAAGTTTAAGCATTCGACTTTTTTTCTCCACCATAAAAGTTGTGTGTCTTGTCTGACAGTTGCCTTAATCCTTGCAGTGGCATTTCGTCTTTCATCTTTGCAAAGAATGGCCAGGGTTTCTATTTGAGTTGTTCATCTGAATTTTGTCGGACATCCTTGTCTAAGCGCTATGTAACGCAGCCGCAGTGCACCGTGGAATTACAGGAAGGAATGCGGCCTGAACCAGAACCTGAAGAACCAAAGACAGATGAAGCAGCCCCAGAAGCCTCAGAAGAGCCGGCCGAGCAGAACACCACTACAGAAGCCCCTCAGAATGAACAGTAAGAGTTTGATCAACATTTTTAATGTTTTGTGGATTTTTTATTTTTCTAAATGTTACTTATTCTGTAGATGTTTTGCATGTTTCTATATTGTTAACAAAAACATTGTAGTTGCACTAAAATTGTATGTAGGCATTTGAAAATGTGCCTCACTTCACCTGTTTGTTAGTCTTTTTGTTTTAGTTAGTCTTTTTTTTTTTTTTTTTTTTTTTTTTTTTCTTCCTCTTCAAGAAATTCTGATCGTCAAGAATAATTTGAACTTTAGTATAATTCAAAATGATTTAACATGAAACTATTTATTTTTTTTACAATTAAATGTTTTAGATTTTATATAATTGAAATGTGACTAAATTAGTATTATCAATTTAAATACTTAATGTGGCTCTTTTCACTTTTTTTTTATCACATTAGCAAATTTTGTTGTCTTTTTCATCCAATCAAAAATGAGCAAGATACAAACAAGTTGTCCAATCAGGCCACTGAAATCCATTTTGACTTAATTGGTCATTCTAACTGCTAGTAGGATTTCCTACTTTTGATTAAATAAAAATTAAATAAAGATTTGAAATATCAAACTTCAGGTTGTCATGATTGAGATTAAGCAGTTTTCTTTTTGCTGCCTTCATGAGTGACATTTGAGAAAGTGTAAATTTTAATCAAACACAAAAAAATTCTTAATATACATAAGCAATTCAGGTTTGTTGTAGTGGGAAGGGAGGAGCCAACATACATTTGCTTATCTTGTCTATATTCCAAATTTATTCATTAATAGATCAACAGCACTAAGATTGTCAGTTATTGACTAACTTCACTGGCTTTGATCAGCAAAAGTTAATCCCTTCCTCCATGTTTTTACTTTGTGTGTGTAATGATGTGATAAGAATGAAAGTAATATATAAATTCCAGCATTCACAGCATTAATCCAAAAGAGGGTTCAATACCAATAGTAGAGCAATAATTATTTATTATAATTTTATCATATAGATAAAAGCATTTTACTCACTACAAAGATGCAACTTCGTTACAGTGCATTTCAACTGCCCTTTGAGTGAGAATCGAAAATGAGGGAAATATGAGGGAGGGATTATATACAGGCAGTGTTTCTCAACCAGTGCGCTCCAAGCTAGCAGAAGAGTAATTATTTATTTTTATATTTAAAAAAAAAAAAAAAAATTATTTTTTAAAAAGCTGGAGATGCAAAGTACATGGCTTTTCATGGCTTTGTCATATTTTAAACTGGATGCTTAATTAATGTTTAAGTGGATCTAAAAAGAAAAGTACCAAAGTGTTCATAAATCCGATGTAATGTCTAAAAAAAAAAAAAAAAAAAAAAATTTTAGAAAGTTCTTGAAGTAATTACAGCATCACTGTTAATTTTGCATGGACCTCTTTTTATAGAGCCAATTTTCATAGAACTCCTTAACCATAACAGCACAAAGGGTGCTCGTCTTCTGTGTGATGTTAGTTTACATTTTTATTTGAAATATGGCTTCTCAAACTATTTCTCAGTTTCATTTACTCAATATATTTCTTCTTAAATCTTATTTTCTAATTTTTTTTCCTGAAATTTGTATGTTTGCTTGATCCTTTTTTTTTTTTTTTTTTTTTTTTTTTTAATGTCATTAGATGCATCCCTTTGTTTTTGTTGTTTTAATATTGCTTTTATTTATTTATTGTATGTCTTCCTGTTGTGGGTGTTGTATCATGCTTCACATAGTATCTAGTCCTCCTCAACTTTCCCTCCGCCATTTAATGTATTTTATAACGAGATGTCACTTTGCTATACGCTCTCAATAGACCGACCCTAACTGAAACTTGTCCCTCTCAAATTTGGCTTAATTCGCTTATACTTAATCCAAGGGCATTAACTCTTAACACACTGCCACGGTCAAATTTACGATTAAATTTTTTTGTCAGCGAAATTAACAAATTCTAACTAGTTTACTATTTAAAAAAAAAAAAAAAAACTTTCCTTAAATTCAATATGAAATTTGTTCCCAAAACTTAAAACTTGTATGAAAATAAATTTCTTGCTGTTTCTAAGGAGACTGTTTTTACACACATCCTGTATCAAAGTTGTGCTTGAAGCGATCAGATTGATTCAGTACAAGTGTGTCATTTCTTCAACCTTTGGAAGTTGCTTTCCGTTGGCTGATTACTTTTTTTTTTTTTTTTTTTTTTTTTTTTAACCAGGAATTGAAGTTTTTATTTAATGCTGAAAAACTGAATCTTTAAGTTGTCCAAGTAATTTCTTTAATTCTCTTTATTTTGAAATAAACTGGTTTATTTTTAAAATTTAAAGGTTTAGGTTTTCAATAAACCTGACATTTTTTTTCTAACCTTTTTTTTAGATATTGATTGGTTGCTTGTGATTTTTTTTTTTTTTTTTTTTTTTTAACTAGAAACTACTCTCAACTAAAACCTTTTTATTTAATTTTAAATGTTCAGATTTTATTCACCTTTCAAGTGCCTTACTTGAGATAGGGATTCCCTAAAACTTTTTTTTTTGTGGAAAATTCCCAGTATAAATGTCTTATTTTCAAACATGGTTGCTAGAGTTTGGTCTTTCAAACTGGCTCTTTGTTTATGTGAAGCTGTCTAACAGCCCTCAACGGTTGGTTTATTAGGGTGTTGGGTGTGTTTGGGCCTCTCACCACACGTCTCTATCGACATGTTTTCCAGCAAAGAGGGAGAGGCCCCTGAAGTTGAAGGCGAAGGGACTGGCGAAAGCAGGGCCGAGAACGTAGAGGGAGGAATGAGCGATGATACACAGCAAAATGACTCTCGGGCTGACACAACCACTACTGGGGATCTCTCCCAAGATAGTGTCATAGATGTAGCGTAAGTATTTTGATAGCAGCAATGGCTGACAGTTTAAAACAATGCTTGGCTGAAAAAAAAAAAAAACTGAGAAAAAGAACGCATGCGGCATTCTTCCTCCTCCTTCTACTCTTCCTCGGCAATTTTTATTCAGTCAGCAACAGCAGCTCCTAACATTTAATCTTTTTTTTCTTTCCTTTTCTTTTTTTGCAAATCATGTTACCAGTTTTTTTTTTTTTTTTTTTTAACTCACCAATTTTTTAGCCATATTTACAATTCACTAAGCACAATGTTCTTTTTCTTTTATCTTTCAAAAGATATTTTTCAAAAATTTTGAGGGAGATTAGCTTAAGTTTAATCAATCTGATTTGAAAGAAATATTACTTTCATTTTAAAATATCCCAAATAAATAAGCATTTTTAACATGGAGGTAGATGTTTATTATGTGATGTTTAGGGATTTTTTTTTTTTTTTTGTATGGGAGACATATCTGTAAAAATTAAGTGAATAATGTGAATACATTTTTTTTTTTTTTTTTTTTTTTTTTAACTACCCAGTAATATTAAAAATTTACAAAAATATTAAGGAATTTTGTAATGTGGTTTCTGTATTTACCAAAATTGCCACATTTATAAAAAAACTCAAAATTCCTTTTTCACTGGAGGATCACTGAATTGTAAGATTTTCCATATACAATTAGGAAATATAGTGTTTACTTAATAACAATATAACATAACATTTACAAATTAATGCAGATTTATAATTTTATAAAATAGGTGGGTTATATAAAAAAAATTTCATTAATTTGTAAATAAGTCCTGAAAGTTTCTTTAAAATCCAAAAAAATTTTTTTTTTTTTCCACAATTTCCAAATCAATGTATTTTTCACTGCCAAAAAAGGTGTTAAAATTTCCTATACTTATCATTTGGTTTGTTGTATGGCATATCAACACCTCAATAGGTTATTTAATGCCAACATGGTTTTTAGGGTAGGAATAGAATGTATTCTTTGTGAGAAATTAGGTTGTAGAACAGGTTTCATCGTCCTTTTTTTTTTTTTTTTTTTTGTAGAGGGTTTTTGTATTACCGTCTTTTTTTGGGGGGGTTCTCGCTTTTATATATATATGTGTGTGTATATATATATATATATATATATATATATATATATATATATATATATATATTTTACTATAGAAACCTAATTTTTACACTTTCCTAGTGTTTTAACCTCAGTTGGGAGTAAACTATTTGTCCATAGCTAGGACCCTAACAGGTGCTACCACCTCAGGTCAGGGTGGACCTGGGAGCAACAGCAATTAAGGGGAGGTCCCACACTCCTAAAAACCTTTTGATTGGGGGGGGGGATCTTGCTATCAGATGTAGTAGTTTACGTCATAACCAGGACGTATGAATCTTTGGTCCCCCTATTGATGTGAGAAAAACAATTTTTAAATGTTTGAAAAAGATGATAAAAATATAATTTAATTTAAAAATTCTTTGGTCTTTCCTTTTAATAACAAAGATTTAAATACTTTTTTTTTTTTTTTTTTTTTTTTTTAGCAGATCTTTGGAGAGATATGTATTATATTAAAAGATTGCTTTTAAAAATCAATTTTATCCTGGCATCAATGTTTCTTGGTAAAATTCCCAGTCATTAGTGGTTTTAAATTGTATCTTTTTTTTTTTTTTTTTTTTTTTTTACAAATTCTTCACTAAAATATATATATTTGTGGTGAAATAACTTATTACATGGAACCTTAGTGATCCGTTTTTATTCACATATATATATATATATATATTTTCGCTTGAGGATGAAACAGGGCTTGTTACTTAAATTTAATTTTAATAATTATATTGGTTTTGCCTCTCGTTTTTGAAATATGAGAACTCTTATGTAGTGATGGAATTATTTTTTAAAAAATATATATATATATATATATATATATATATATAGACATTTCTATGTTTTATACATTATTTTTATCGATACAAATATTTAAGTAAATGCTCTGATTTATAATAAACAGTATCTGGCCTGAATGTTTGAGAAATTTTCATAGAAAATATTCGTCCTCTGACAAGAATCTGACCTGTATCCTATACAGAACCTCATTTAGCCTGAGCCACAGAGTATAGTATGATTAGTGAGGTCGATTTTACTGCCTTTAAACTTCAATCTTCCATGAATCTCTCGCGTACATTCATATCTGCTCAAAGTCTATCCAAATGTAAACAAATGATGTCACATTATGAAATGGGCAAAGTCTGACAAATATATATATATATATATATATATATATATATATATATATATATATATATAAAAAAACAAAAAATTTAGTGTGACTGGTTTCTAAACATTTCCAAAAAAGGTAATAAAATGAGATTATAAAGCGCATCATTTTTCAAAATTATGCTAACCGCAGAGGTTTTTTTTTTTCTCCTCTCTTAATACAAATTCAAACCGTCTCACCTACAGATTCCCCACCACCACCACCTTTTAAGATTCAGTGAGGCATGAAAACCTGATTGCATAGATGAGCAAAAATGAAAATAATTTCTTACTAGAAACTTCCATATTATTAGAAACAAACTACATGATGCCCCCCCCCCAAAAAAAAAAATTGATATCATATAAAATGAGAATATCTGAGTAACTACATTTCCCAGGCAAACAAAATTAAATAGGCTTCATATTGAACAATAAAAGATTTATTTATCAAAATTCAAACAAGATATTCAAAGGGATGAATATTTTATAACTGATTTCATAAAGCTTCACTATGTGCACCACCTGTAACATAACACGTCAAGTCAGTTGTCCAGCTCCTGCCAAACATGCTGTAGCATGTATTGTATAACATCCTCCAGTACCTAATTGATTCTCTGCTTAAGTTCTTTTAGGCTTGTAAGAAGAGTTGGGATATAGACCTGTTCTTTCACATTGCCCCATAGAAAAAAAATCACAAGGTGTCAAGTCGGGTGAACATGATGGTGATTTCAACAGCACATTGTTATTATCACTGACACACCCAATCCAGCTTCCTGGTAGATTCTCGTGGAGTTAAGTCTGCAGTTAACTTAGTTTTAACACTTTTCTTCTTTTTTTAAATTTGATATCATTTGAACAAGAATTACCTAATGTTAATTAGTAATTATTATTGTCAAATTTTTTTTTTTTTTTTTTTTTTTTGCAGTGGTGCAGGACACTCTGTATTTAAAAATAAACAGCATTTTCCTCATGCTTTTTTTTTTTTTTTTTTTTTCCCTCTCTCTTTCCTTTTAACTCGGAAACACTGCCGCTTGATTTCTAATCTGACTTGTTGCACTGGCTTGTAACCTTATTACAAGTAAATCTTTTTTTTTTTTTTTTTTTTTTTTTTTTTGTCTTCAGTTGACTGCTTTCATGGCTTTGTCTTGACTCAATAGTAACAAATAATAATAATAGTCTGTATGTTTGGCTGGTTCTCTGCACTGGTTACCATTTATGTGTTCCTCACCTAAATGCTTTCTTTCTTGATCAATTCATCTAAATTGCACAAGGTCAGCTTCTTTGTATACATTTTCCTTGCAAGTTTTGGTGAGTTTAATAGACTCTCTTCATTCTTCTATCCACTGTCTATGTTCCTTTCTGCTTAAGGGGACAATTATTTTATCTTTACTCACAAATGCAGCCTTTGGGTTATTCAGAAAATCTTTTTCCTGGTACCCCCCACCCCTTCATAATTCAAGATTTGATGGCGACATTCTAAACACTACATCTGTTCAAAACCTTTTTTTTTTTTTTTCTTTTTCCCCTTCAGTAATACAGCTTACTTGAAAGAATTGGAAGACACTTGGTGCTCAGATTACTGCTTAAAACTTGCATTTTGGAAAGTACTTTCCCATTTCTGTAAATGCTTTTTGTCTGACTTTTTGGGAAGAAAAAAATATCTATATAAAGCAAAATAAAATCTCCATATTTTTTTTTCCATTCACAATATGATGCATGAATGTCTATCAAAAAAAAAAAGTAGTCTTGGTATTTCTGAAAGGATGGACATTGTTTTATGAAACTGAAATATTTTCAAATTTGTAAGCCAGCCAGTCAATTTTCTGTTCGATTGAAATTCAAGTGCATTTCCATGTTTGAGTGGAAAATCTGCATTTCTTTCTCGTGTCTTCTTTCCTTTATAATACAATGCAAGTAGGAAACTTCTTTTTTTTTTTTTCTTAAAGCCACTTGAAGGAAGTAGTAGTTTAATTACTTTAATAATTGTTACTCTCTAACCCTTACCTCTCAACCAATGCTGCTGTCTTCAAAAGAAACTTTCAAATAAATTATACCACTTTGGTCTCTGTAAGAAAACTGTTGCATGTGCATGTTGTTAAGGCACTTGTGGTTTTTTTTTTTTTTTTTTTTCCTGGTTGGCTGTTTCTATTGTCCATTCTCAAAGAACAAGTTTCATTGAATTTGGAGACAAATTAATACCAAATTTTTCTCCTCATAGCAAACTATTCAATAACCAGGTATTATCTTTTGACTATGATGGATCAGATGACATAAAACATTTCTTGGAGAAAATGCCTACTATTTTTCCCCCCTCCCTCTTTCCCCAGTTCATAAGGGTAGATATTAATTCTGGTATGGGAAATGCTTTAAACTGTTTAGGTATAAATGAATTGCTTGTTCCTGTCACTCTCCAAACCTTGCAACTGGCAAACAGTTCAACATTCCTATAGCAACCATTCTTTTCATCACATAAAAATCTTATTCCCCAACCTGATCTGACCAACTATTGCTTCTAAACCAATTTTGTCTTTTTCTTTATTGCTAGTGCCTTTTTTTTTTTTTCCCCCCCTTTCTACACCCAAGCATTTCTGACCGCCTCTGCTTCTTCATGCCTCCTGAAAATTGCCAAAAAATTTTTTTATTTCAAAAAATTTGCCAACACTTCCATTTCAGATTTTAAAGCGATATGTTTGAGAAATTAAATTTTTTTTTTTTTTTTTTTTTTTTTTTTTTTTTTGCTAAGCTTTTTTTTTGTCTGCAGTAAAATTCATCTTTAAAGGTTTGGTGCAACTTTTTTTTTTTTCTTTTTTATCTCTATTTTCTTCCGGCAAATGCAGTAATTTA